TATATTCAAATGCGCATTGACTTGATTGTACATTTAAACTCCCGATCGCTTAATTTCCAAAAATGCGTTGTGGCGAAACACAGCCTTTTTTCTTGCTGATGTGAGCGCAATGTGCGAATCACACGAATAAAAATGCCTGTGGAGTATAGATAATTAAAATATATGATTAAAAAATTTGGAGTCAATTACAATAGTGTGGAGTGAATTAGCAAACTTAAAAAATAAAAAACCCAAAAGTTAATTAAACATTTACCTTAGTCTACATCCAACGGCTTGTGGCAGGTATGGTGGCACAATGGGTTTAGCTTGCCATTGCAGATCAGCACCTGTCTGAGCTTGTCCCGCGAATACAAACTCCAAAATGCTTACAAATTCTTGATAAAAGCTGGAGAAGGTTTTATGGTTCAAAATTTTCTTTGAAGAAAAGCTAGAGAAAAAATTGGGAGAGAGAAGGAAGTGAAGATCTGCATAACAAATACTGAAGGAATATTTGGGAAGAAAAAAAGGGAGGAAAATAAGTAAAAATATGCACTATTAAATTGATCCCATGGTGCATATTAATTAATACGAAAATATTTATGAAAATCATAAATAAAAAAAATGATTATATTTAATATTTGCCACATGAGAAAAACCAAATGTAATGATAAATCATATTAGCATGCTTTGCTAGGTTACAATCAAATGTAATGAGAAAAACCAAATGTTGTGATGATGGTACGATAATTTTTAGATTTAGTAGTATAATTAATAACGGTTGTGTTGTAGGGGTATTTTTATAGATGTTAATTTGCTTGGTTTTTCATGAATGGTGTTGTATGATTTGGATATGGCTCTCAGTTTCCTCCCTATTGTCAATTGTAATAATCGATATCTTCTTATTCTTCTTCGAATTGTATAATTGTATATAAGAAATATCGCATATGGGGATTTTGATTTTGATTTTGATTTGAAGAAGAGGTAACCAGCCCATTCTTTTTGCTCAATGATTCTTGTTCAATTGTTATTATTGAATTCTGTGTGGAATGCCGTTTGGTTTTGGGTGGTGTTGTGTTTGGACCAGTTTTCTGTTGTTGATTGAAATCAAATCTTTGAGAGTCTCTTTTATTCTTCATTATTTTGGAGTTGCTTGAGTTTTCATCTCTATTCTGAACTGTGGATGTGCGTTGCCGGTCGTGGACGCGTGTTCTCTCTCAGATTTCTCAAGCTCTCTCTCTCAGGTTCCAGTAAACCTTTCATTTCCTTCCAGTGCAGATCTCTTGAGTTCTCTCGGAATCTACGAACCAATAAATGTCTTCCTTCTCCCTTCTCTCTTCCTCTCACTCGCCTTTCTACTTTCTCTCTTTAAAATTCCATAAAATCTCTCTCCAAAATTCCATTTCCCTCTCCTTCAAACCACTTTCTCTCAAAAGAGAATTTGAGAAAAAATGAATCTTTTAAATTTTAATTCCTATCAATTTGATGTTTTTTGTTGTTGTATTTTAATTGTAGAGGATGAGCATGGTGTTGTGTGGTTTTGGCTGGAGAAAGGGAAGCCACATGAATGCCCAGTCTGCACGCAATAGTTTTGGTAAGTGGAGCCTCTTTTCCAGCTCCCTGAGACTTTTATGTTATTTTTTTGATTATGATCCAATGGCATGTGGTTGGAACTACCGGTAGTGTTTTGAAGGAACAAGAAGACACATAATAGAACTTGAATGGGAAGAGAAAGAAGAAAGCCAGCTTTTCAATCGATAAGCTAAAATCAATCCCCTCCATCTCCTCATCGGTGGCGGCGACCACCAGCTTCACTTTTTTAATTTCATTTTAATTTTTGCTCTTTTTAGTCGATTTAAGAAATGAAGAATGCCTACTTTTGTTACCTAGAGATGTTTATAAAGAATCTTATGTAACATATAGTATTAACAAGCATATCACAACATCCCACGATCTATGATAATCTCTGTATACCTTTTTTTCCCTGATATGATATCGTGTGTTCTGCAAAACTTATTTTTGGTGCAGATTAATTCAAAATCATGCTATGGATATACATGGGAAATTGCCAAACAAGTTTCCATCTATCCCAGGTATCTTTTTTTATTTTCTGTGTTTTTTTTTTTTTTTTTTTTTTTTTTTTTACAATTAGTTTGTTTACTCTGCTCTGGCTTTAAAGAAAGGATCAGAAATTTACACTGCTCGATAATCTATAAACATTGAAAACAATAGAAGGTTAGCATGATTTGCTCTCCCTTCCAATTACGTGCAATCAGCTTTTCCAAATTGACTTTCATTTCATGAGATACCTTTTCAATTCCATTCCATACACCGAAAATGAAACTGAGAGCAAGAATCGAAAACATCATTGCTAATTTTTGATCTGTACTATGAACTATACATTCTTCAGATTACACCTTATGGTAGTTTTTCTCTTTAAAGCTGATTTTTCTGACGAAAAGAATATAAATTAGAATATAATAGATTTTCAAAGTCGCACACAGTTTGTAGTAAGCTAAAATTCATAAGCATGCTTTTGATTTCCTAATTGTAGAGAAAACACTCCCATTATATTCTAATTATATTATTCCTTTCTGAAAATTCAACTTTAAAATATTCGATTTCGTTCACCCTCATCCTAACAATTCTCCCATACTTTTGATCCGAATTAAGAATGAAATGAAATCGACTGAAAACTGAAATATGGATTACAACTTTCCTTACGTATTAGACCAATTTGGTTTGAGCATGATTGAGTTGATTGGTTTGCGTATGACTGATTTTGATATTCTGAATTCATATGCGATTTAAGGTTTAAACTTATTCGTTAGTATCATTTGTAGTTCCAACCATACATATATTTTGTTTTTCATTTTTACTAAAACTATCACTTATATTATCAACATCTATTTTTTTTGAATTTTTAACAGAGAAATAAAAACGCCTGCACACAAGAAGAAAAAAAGGAAGTTTTGAAATGCAATGAAAGATGATGTGAGGACCGGCGATGATGTTGAATAGCTATTTTTGCTGCATATATAGAAATGAGCAGTGAAAGATGATGTGAGGAGTGGGATCACATACTTTGTACTCAAGCCAATCTTTGAAAAGTTTATTGGTCAACCAAAATGTTGTTTAAAGGTTACTAAAATATTTTAGACAATAAGCAGTTAATGATGTAGATTAGAAAACTTAGATGATCTTTGAACCTATTATTTTGGTTACAACATTACCAAGAATCATGCCCCTTTTGTTTAATTGGTATGCATGCCCCATAAGTATATAAGTCCATCTCCAACCGATGGCTGGCCAAATGGCTCGTTTTAGCCCTCTGGCCCTCAAAGATTCTCTAATATATTAATATTTTAATGAACAGTACATGGTCATATTTGCCTCCGTCTCCAACCGAGGACCAGAGGGTCAGAGGGCTCGTTTTAACTCTTTCACAAAAAATCGTCTCCAATCAAGGGCCATAGGCCCAAGCATAATTTATTATTTAAAATTTGTATTTTGAGATCCCTAAGTTTTGGATGAATTTTAGATTTTGATATGGGTGTAAATAAAATTTTAATATATTTCATGTTTAACAGAATTTTAAAACCCGCAACATCACGTACGCACAATTGTTAGAATATATATATATATATATATATGTGTGTGTGTATTATTTCTCTTCATTCAATACCCTGCTATTGTTCAAAAATTCAAATAAATTCAAGCATTCTCTTGTATGGCCATCTATAACAAATCAAACATTTAAAATCAAATCATCATTCACTTTTATCTATAAAATAAAAAATTTGCCTCACTTTTAACTGATCTTTTTCATGATGCAACCCAAAGATTTTTGAGCTATTTCCTATCTCATTCTCGAAATATCATATCTTTTGTCATTCCAAATTCCAAATCCATTCAACTTATAGAAAAAATTACAAATCCATTAAATAAGCGCAATAAGGTTTGTAAATCTTTATTAGTGTCTATAATTTTCATTTGTTCCTACTAAATTCTACCTCTTACTTGAGTGTTAGGGTTTGTAAATTTTTATTGATTTTTTATATTAATTATGTTAATTCTTTCAATAGTATAGATGACGAGGTTATCATGTAATGATTCAAAATATGAAAACTCGTTGAGGATAAATATGATTATTTTGGATACATATTATGATATTTTGGTTGGTATAGTTATAAATACTACTGCCAAGTTTAGACTAACCAAGAAGGTCTTAGGCAAGAAAAAAAAAGGAGTTTTAACAAAACACTCCAGGTACTGTCTACTTTTAACGAAAAACCACATTTATACCTTTTCCTAGTACTATTCACTATACCTTTAAAAATGACTTTTCATTAAAAGGGAAGTTTTTTTAAACTTTTCGTTAATTTTCTTAAAAAAAAGAAGCAATATCTAGAACTTAGGTAGAATCATCTTTAAAAGTGAACCCATCTGTGCAGACACTGGCTGAATGAAATCAAAGGCATCAGTGTGAAACTTTAGGGAGACTAGGGTGCTTTGTTTGTGAGATAGGACAATTGCGTGGTTGGAACTTGAATTTGAATTTGAGTTAAGAAAGTGCTTGAAGAGCTTTTTTCAAGAAATATTAATTATGTGCCTTTTCCGGTAAGCAATGGAAATATTTTTTCAAGATTTATTTGTAATTTTGGTTTCAAAAATATATTCATCAGAAATACTTTTACTTATTTTAAAAGTACTTCCAAAAGAGCTCTTAATTGGAATATCATTCTCCGAGGAAAAAAAAACCTCTGATGAATAAAAGAAAAATAGATATAAGATCGATATGCGTTTGTGAGCCCTACCTTTATTAGAGCTGGTACAAGTAATGGTACAAATAGTGGTAATTGAAGCACTTCTCGAAACACAAAGCTCGGTGCGAGTTTTTTATTTTTTTTATTTTTTATTTTTTTTTATGACAATATTTGAGAATTTCCGGTGCGAGTCTCTACACGGTAGACTCGCTTATGAGCAGTTCCCCTTGGCCTTCAAGGAACCACATGTCACCACGTTTATGCGCCATCTGTTCTCTCTCTCTCTCTGTCTATACCAAACGAGTTGTCTGGAAAGAAGAAGCTAGACTTTCCGGTTATCTGTGCTCGGTACTCTCCGTGAAAGCAAATCGAAGAACCAAAACTTAAGAAACCCTAGAAAAAGGAGGGATTCTGAAGAGGAAAATTTGAAAAAATGAGGACGGTCGTGTCGCGGTTGATCCAATCAAGATCATCACTTCCAAGGCTCTTGTATGTCGTCTATTTTCAATTTTGGCTTTTAATTTTGTGTAATTGATACTTAATTTCACATATCTGCACTGCTAATATAAGGTTTTGAATGTGAGTCTTTTGGGATTTTTGTTTTTGTTTCTGAAATATGATGCAATGCATTGGTTGGCTGCTGAGAAAGAGTGGGAATTGGGGAAAATAATGCAAAACCCAAAATTGATTGATTGGTATCTTAGTTTATTAGGTTTCGTTTTCAAGTTCTGTGTTCTGGGTTCTATACAACAAAATTGTATCATCTGGGTTTATGAATATGTTAAACTGTTTTCGGATTATATAAAGCCGTGGCTTGTTCTGCATTGTTGAATTTGTGGTTGAAAATGAATATAATAATGTTTAAAAAAAAATTATGTACTTTTTTTTGGTATTTGGTTGACTTTTTGGTTCCGGAATCCAGTAGGGTTCTAAGTTCTAACAATGATAGTAAGAGGAGAATTGGGTTTTCCTTACTTTCTAATTTCTGTAAAAGCAGTGTATCGGAATCACTGAAGAATGGTAGGTATCTAACAACAGACTCTAATAAGGTTGATGAACCCTTCAAAGTTGAAGAAGCTGAGACTGTCAACATTCCCCCTCCTCCAACTGATAAGGTACTATATTGTTGCAAAGAGCATTGGAGATTTGAAACTGTTATTTCATCATATAATTTTATTGTCTTCATCTCTACAATGCCGTATTATATTTTTTGACTTCTAAGCTTCGTAATTCAGTTGCTTGTCTTGGGTGGAAATGGATTTGTTGGCTCACATGTTTGTAGAGAAGCATTGGATCGGGGCTTGTCTGTCGCTAGCCTTAGCAGGTATAACTCAACTCTATATATTTGATGTTTGGTACTGCTTGCTGGTTAAGTTGATGCCGATGGATTTTTCATTAGTTTTGATCAGTTTAGGCCTGTATACATCTCAATGCTTGCTATAAAAGAACGGAATACTATCAGACTGTGATGTAATTTATTTCTGAATTATTTCTTGGAGACCAATTTTCCTAATTCTTTAGCCTACTAGATAAGGAAAATTTTATACTTCAATCATCTTGTATTTGATTGTTTTGATTCCATACCATCTCACTTTTAATGCTTTCTTATTTTCCTTCTCAGGTCTGGTAGGTCAAAATTACATGATTTGTGGGCCAACAGTGTGACCTGGCATCAAGGTTTGCTTTGTTGCAATAGTATTTTATCAACGACCCATAATTGTTTTTTTGGTAGATACTCCTTTAAAAAAATTTCCATTTTCAGGAAACCTTCTATCGCCTGAGTCATTAAAGGATGCTTTCAATGGTGTCACGTCCGTCGTATGGAGTCCCTTTATCCTCTGTTTTACTTGATTTCTATCCACTGATATGTAGGAAAGACATATGTGTACACATATTCTCTAACCGCGTGATATATTGTCCTTCCCCTCCCCCTTCCAATTTTGTTCAGGATGTGCTTGTTTTATAGAATGAAAACTCTCTATCCCATTGGTCATCATGCTTAGCTTACTGGATCAGATGTTTGGATTGTTTTCCTAATAAAGTTTCTTGTCCTAGATATCCTGTGTTGGTGGGTTTGGCTCCAATTCTTACATGTATAAGATTAATGGGACTGCTAACATCAATGCAATTAGAGTTGCCGCTGAACAAGGTATATATTCATTTATGTTCTTTTTCTCCGTCAAGCTACTTCTTTTGCTTACTTATGGTTAAACAATTGGCGTTGATCGTGCAGGCGTGAAAAGATTTGTTTATATCTCTGCTGCTGATTTTGGTGTGGCAAATTACTTACTGCAGGGATATTATGAGGGAAAGGTGCCATGCTCAATGATAACTGCGTATATGCTTTATTAAAGTTTACTTTTATGTTTGTCGCTAGTTTTTAACGACTGCTGGAAGAATTAGCATAATGAGTCTGCTTGTAATGCTTAACATTTCTAATTTATCTGACACAAAGTCCTTTACTGTATCTTGGTCAATCTAGAGAGCTGCAGAGACAGAGCTACTAACCAAATTCCCATATGGAGGTGAGGTTTCTTACTCTTATCACTTTTTTTTTTATTGATGGCTAAAATATGAGAAAATTATTTGGTCATCGGTTACATCTTGTCTCAAATTTCAATCAATATCTTTTTAAACATTAAGTTACCATGTTCTTGAAACCAAGCGCTGTAGACTGAAGCTTTAGTTTCATGGTTTATTTTTCTTACAATTGGGATGCTTCTATTCACAATTTACTTGCCCTTTTTCAGGAGTGATTTTGAGGCCTGGATTTATATATGGGACTCGAAGTGTTGGGAGCCTGAAGATACCTCTTGGTGTAATTGGTTCTCCACTTGAGATGGTAAAGTGTTAGTTCCTCTTGTATTCTGCATTAATGGCATGTTTACTTTTAGGGAATAGGAATTGGAATCTTCCGATTCTTCACCTCCCTGCGTTTACTATATCATTGGTATTAAAATCATTCCAATTCCCAACTTCCCCGATGTTTATTAACACATGAAATTGGAAAAGGTGCACGAATTTCTTATTTTTCCTTTGTCCTTGACAAAAATATTCTCTGTTAAAACCTGAAGGGATTAACTGATTCATACTCAAATATATGACTGCAGCTATTTCAAAACACGAGACCCCTGAGCCAGCTGCCGCTTGTTGGGCCTCTCTTTACTCCTCCAGTGAATGTAACCTCTGTGGCAAATGTTGCCGTTAGAGCAGCTACTGATCCTGTCTTCCCTCCTGGGATTGTAGATGTCCAGGGTATCCAGCGTTATACCCAGAAGAAGTAGAGGTGCATATAGCCCCTTCCGTTTTTGTTTCGTTCATCAGTGCAGGCTGCAGAGTGTGATGTAAAGCTGTCAAAGTTTTTCCCGTGAAGATCCTGGTTTTTCGCTGTTGGCCGAGAATCTTGATACGAAGATTACATTGGTTTCTTTTTCTTCACATGTTGCAATGGTTAATAACGTGTTAAAAAGCACAGATTTACTTGTTCAATAATTGCCTCCCCAGCTGAACTTGTTTGAAGTTTGGGGTGAAGCGGATGACCGTTACTTTTGAGTCACTTGATTTATCAATGTATCTTGGCCCCTTGCAACCTGGGATTAAAATAGCAAAGTTTTGTCCCTCTGATTTTTCTTATTTGAAGTGAAAAGAAGAGCTCGTGTTTTTGTTTGAAAGTGCTTTTAAAACATTTAAAATATCTTCTTGTCATAAATTCATTGAAATTGTCATTATAAGTTAATGCTTTTTGAAAAAGCACTTGAGAGCACTTCACCATTAGCGGGTGCTTTTCTAGAACGAGTGCTTTTTAAAGTTTTCTTGCTCAACGTGGTTAAAAGCCGTTTGTCGGTTGACACAACACTTGTAGATTTTACAGAAGCAGTGGCAAGCATGCCCTAGAGAAGTGCTCATGCACAAAAGTGCTTTCTAGAAAAGTATTTTTAAACCGGCTTGGAAGTTGGAACGCATTCCTACTGGAGTACTGGTAACCAAAACGGGCAATTGGATGCGGAAATAGATAAACCCGACCCGGTTAAATAGTTTACTTCAATAAAAATAGGCCAATCAATGAACCAGAACCCAAATCAGAGGAGAAGACTCTTAACAGTCGTCACAGTCACAAAAGATCGTATTTTGGAAGGAGAGAGAGGGAAAGAAGATGAACCAGAACCCAAATCAGAACCAGAACCAGCAACCGAGCGACGGCGGAAAGCACGAGGATGACGCCGCCCTCACCGACTTCCTCGCCTCCTTGATGGACTACACCCCCACCGTAAAATCCTACTTCCCAATCTCATTTTTTCCTGCAAATTCCGATCAAATCGAAATCAAAATCCTGACATTTTGTGATTTCAGATGCCCGACGAGCTCGTGGAGCATTACTTGGCGAAAAGCGGCTTCCAATGCTCCGACGTTCGATTGTAGGTACTTCTTTCGATTCCGAATTTTGGGAAGATTTGCAATTTTGTCAGTTGAGATTTCAGTTTTCGTTAGGGTTAGCTGATATTAATAATTTGAGTTTGTCAAGTGTATATTGTATATCTGTTCGAAAATTTCAAATTTCAAGTCCATTAGATACTCATGCTATGTGAATTTAGCTGTAGGTAGAGTCTGTAACTGGTGTGGGATTCACTCATGGTTGTCCGTGATCGGTTCCTTCTTTTCGTTTGGGCTTCAGGAATTGTATCTATTTTACATATTCGTTTATTAGCCTTTGTTGCAATTAGCGGTTTCAAATTTGAGTTTCATGGTCGTCTATTTGATGATTGAAAGTTTGTGCTTTTTGACATAGATTGCATCATTGCAATCATTGATATAGAGCAGCTTTTGATTTAGCTTTCTTTTGAGCTGAGAATGGCACTTAGTGGGAAAAGGCTTTGTTGTTGTTGTTGTTGTTGTTGAATTTGTATTTAATGTAGTTCTTTGCATGTACTTGTAAACGGAATTGGTTTTTATTCTCTTTTCAGAATTAGGCTGGTAGCTGTCGCCACGCAAAAGTTTGTTTCTGAGGTCGCAACTGATGCTCTTCAGTAAGTCGCTGAATTCCGTGGTTGTAATTGCACTCGTAGGTTTTTGGTCCAGAATTATTTAGCTATATTCCTTGGTTCTTGCACTTGTAGTTAGCCAGTGTCTAAGGTATTACAATTGGGGAAGGTATTTACATGCTTATGCTTCTAAACAGGCAATGCAAAGCGAGGCAGGCTTCTATAGTCAAAGACAAAAGGGACAAATAACAAAAGGTACTCCAATCATTGTGCTCGTGGGATGTGTGTTTATGCTTATCTAATTATGGGCGGTCTTAACTTTAATCTTGAAACAGGATAAGCGTCTAATATTGACAATGGAAGATCTGTCAAGAGCGTTGCGTGAGGTAAAAACTACAATCTTTCAAATTACTTGTGCTTGATAAGCTACCTTTTCAATGCACCTCAGTATGCCTCTGTCTATAAAAATTAACTGGAGAGCCTTTTGAACTTGTGAACGAGTTTTTGCTATCTTCTATCCTATTACAGAAGCATGGGATTCATAGAATCTTTTATGTTGATACAGTCTTGTTGTCATTTTCAGAATAGCTAAATCCGGCTCGCTTGGCCCTAATTAGATTTTCAGGAGTCCATATCTTTAATTTATGCGTAATCCAAACTGATAATATTTTTCACTTTACTGCTCCTCTTGTAATTCCTAATTGAGCAGTATGGCGTTAATGTGAAGCACCAAGAATATTTTGCGGACAGCCCTTCGACTGGGATGGATCCTGCAACACGGGAAGAGTAATTTGCAATTGGATTTGTGTTATACCATTTACAGTCTGGTGGTATTAATAATTCTGAGGGAATTAGGCGATGATCGATCACTCTTCTCTTTTGCTTCGTGTACTTGCAATTTTTGAGGCAGAAGATTTCTCGATATGAAGTAGTTAAATTGTACATGTATGGATTTATGAGTAAAACGATTGCATCTCGTTTAGTTCATAGTCATGTGCTTCACATCATCTCTTGTCAAGTTTTTTCTTGTGATGTAAAACAATTGACAATTTGACGTAAGTATTGTGTTTACTTTGATTTGGTCAAGGTGGACGAAACTCACCCCGGCTTTCGTTCCTTTCTTAACAAATTAAACATATTATCATGTGCAAAGAAATTGTTTGAAATGATTAATTAATCATGTATTTTATGCTTAAATTTTAGCTGGTCAGCCATCCCAACATTTTCCCTATAAAATTTCTTCCCAAGGAACAAGATCATCCAAGTTTACAACTGCAAAGACACAAATTCAAGATGAAGTTTAGGAAACCAACCAACCTCATAATTTGTACCTTCTTCTTCCTGGTTTCTTTGAGAATGAATATTTCCTTCGCCATGCGGGTGAAGTCGCAGAACACAACAATCCCAGTGAATGTTGGTGTGGTTTTTGTTCATGTTGCAGATGCAGCAATAGCAACTGGATTCTGGACACCACGATGTGGACTTGCGAAGGGATTGAATTCAACTTCCAAATCGAACAATGATTTCGTCGGTCAAGTTTTTCTTGGGGTAGATCATCTTTACTTTGAACTTCGTCGAATCTGTTTTATGAATGTAACGGAAAGAAAATTCAGATTTTCTGATCAAATTGAAACCTTGGAATGTTAAATTAATTCTTTGACAGGATTACGATGCTTTAGCCGCAGCCCCGACAATCAGAGCAAACAGTTCTTTGTATGTGGATTTCACAATGCCATACACGGAATCAGGTGTGGCGATGGTGGTGCCAACGAAAGATTACACGAGCAAAAATGCATGGGTTTTCTTGAAGCCTCTTTCATGGGATCTCTGGTCGATTTGTCTTTGCTTTTTCATCTGGACTGGTTTCGCGGTTAGTGTTCTTGAACACCGCATTAATGAAGAGTTTCGTGGTCCTCCCTCCGATCAAGTTGGCACAATAAGATTTTTAGGCCCCATACTCATTGCTGGGGTGGCTTCGTCATTAGCTCTCATCATATCTGCAGCCTCCTTCTTTTACAGGTACGGGTACGTCTTAATGACAAGAGTCGCCTTCGTGTGGAGAAGTATTCGGGACATGTTTGGAACGAAGAATTCGGGTCTTGATGCCGTCGAGTCTTTGCCTGCAGGACCTGCTGGCCAAGCCCCTCAAGCCATTCAAATCACACAGATCTAGCCTCACCATTCCTTGGAAAACAAGGCATTGGAAATATAAGTTAGAATTTATAGTGGAAGAGGATGTATTGGTGAGAGTGGTATGTGTATCTAGTGAGAGAAATGTTAATTTTGATTTAGGAAACTCGTAGGTGTACTTTATTTTGGTAGATTTAGTTATGACAACTATGCTTTGTATGTGGGGTTGGGTTTTATTAGTTTTCTTTCTTTGTATGTGGGGTTGATTTTTGATTCCCCTGCCGTATTACTTGCTATGTCTCCCCCAACGAGATTTGACTTTATGTCCCTCTCTTTTTATTTTAATAAGATTATGGGGATGATCGGTGAACAATATCACCCATCCTCTTAAAAAAAATTTAAGTCAACTTTGCTCTCTAGTCCAATATGTTCAAGTTGCGTGCCTCTCTCTCCTCGTTGAACTTTCTTTTTGCTCACCATTAGCGATATTTAATCACTCCACTTGTAAGTGTATGGTTTTAAGTTTGACTCACTTGGATTGCCAATGATATTATGTCATTGTATTAAAGCAAGCTTTCGCAATCATGGAAATAACTTGTAAGCTGCTGAGTGCATGAACAAGCAACCAACTCTGTATCTTAGATAATAATGAAGATAGCGTATGTTAGGTAAATAACAATTTGTGGTTGAAGTATATTATACACAACCAGTTTGACACGGTATTTCTATACACTATACAGTATTTTATTCGTAAGTTTCGTATATGTACTTTGATTCGGTCAAAGTAAGCAGAACATGCAGTGCCCTTAATTCGTTCTTAGTTTGTTAACAAATTATAATTTTTGATCTACTCCAACAGTACGTTATGAATAGATTAAATATAATAAGAATCACGGAAATAAAGCAACCGTTAAGTAGGTAATTAAAGCAAATTATAATAATGAACAAATTATAATTTTTGATCTACTCCAACAGTATACTTAGACAACCGTTAAGTAGGTAATTAAAGCAAGCTTTCGCAATCACGGAAATAACTTGTAAGCTGCTGAGTACATGAACAAGCAACCAACTCTGTATAGAATCTTGGATAATAATGAAGATAGCGTATGTTAGGTAAATAACAATTTGTGGTTGAAGTATATTATACACAACCAGTTTGATACAGTATTTCTATACACTATACAGTATGTTATTCGTAAGTTACGTATATGTACTTTGATTCGGTCAAGGTAAGCAGAACATGCAGTGCCCTTAATTCGTTCTTAGTTTGTTAACAAATTATAATTTTTGATCTACTCCAACAGTACGTTATGAATAGATTAAATATAATAAGAAACTGTTTGACATAATCAACAAAGTAATTTATTCCACAGGTTTGCTTCTGTTAGAATCTGAGATATTATTCTGAAGCTATAGGCACATGGTCAGCAATCCTGCCTGTATAAAAATCCTTTAAACTAATCACATTATCGAAGCTTGGTGATCGAAGATACGGATATGGAGTTGAAGAAATCAATCAACCTTTTTTGTTCTTTCTTCTTCCTTGTTTCTTTCAGCATTCATGTTTCCTTTGTCATTGGACAGAAGACGCAGAATAGAACAATCCCAGTGAATGTTGGTGTAATTCTTGATGACCCTGATTCGGTGAGGGGAAAGGTTCGGTTGAGCTGCATTGAAATGGCCCTCTCGGATTTTTATTCCTCTCACAGTTCCTCTAGAACTAGACTGGTCTTGAGCATTAGGGACTCTAGAAAAGACGTTGTCGATGCAGCTGCTGCAGGTCTCTCCCTTTTTCTCCTTTTCGGTTTCATTTTGAGTCCCAATCTATTCTTTTATTCAATGAGACTGCTTAAGTCTGCATTCTAATTGCGTCCTGTTTTCATTTTCTCTTTTGTTACCACAGCTTTGGACCTGATAAAGAATCTTCAAGTGCAAGCAATCATTGGTCCTACATCATCAATGCAAGCAGACTTTGCAATTGATCTCGGAGACAAAGCCAAAGTTCCCATAATCTCATTTTTGGCAACAAATCCTTCCCTCACTTCCATTCAGGGTTCATACTTTTTCCGAGCAGCGCAAAATGATGCCTCTCAAGTGAAAGCCATAACTGCTATCATCCAAGCCTTTGGATGGAGAGAAGTGGTGCCCATCTACGTAGACAATGAGTTTGGTGAGGGAATATTACCGTCCTTGGTTGATGCCTTAGATGAAGTTCAAGCTCGTGTGCCCTACCGGAGTGCCATACCTCCAATGGCCACTGATGACCAACTTGCCGCAGAGCTTTACAAGTTAATGACAAAGCAAACCAGGGTCTTCATCGTGCACATGTCGCCCTCTCTTGGTTCTCTTCTTTTCACCAAGGCACAAGAGATCGGTATGATGAATGAAAGCTATGTTTGGATCATGACCAATGGCCTAACAAATCATGTAAGTTCACTAAATTCTTCAATCATCAAGTCAATGCAAGGTGTGTTGGGTGTGAGAACTTATGTACCGAAAACAGAAGAGCTTATCCATTTTAGAGTTCGATGGAAGAGGCAATTCCAACAGAAAAATCCATCCGTGGTTGATGTCGAATTGGATGTTTTTTCAATTTGGGCATATGATGCTGCTGTTGCATTAGCCATGGCAGTTGAAAGTGTTGGGACTAGAAACTTTGGCTTTGTAAAGACGAATGCTTCCATCAACTCATCCTCAACAGATCTTATAACTTTCGGGGTCTCTCGAAATGGTCCAAAACTTTTTGAATCCTTATCAAGTACTCACTTTAAAGGCCTTGCAGGAGATTTCAGTTTTGTCAATGGGGAATTACAGTCTTCAGTGTTTGAAATAGTCAATGTGAATGGTGATGGAGCAAGAGAAATTGGTTTTTGGACACCAGAAAGTGGACTCATGAAAAAATTCATAAACCCCACAAACACAAAGAGTGTTGCAAATTCAACTTCTAGATCCAACATGGGATCCATCATATGGCCTGGAGATTCTACCTCTGTTCCAAAAGGATGGGAGATCCCCACGAACGACAGAAAATTGAGAGTGGGAGTTCCGGTGAAGATTGGTTCTCCGGAGTTTGTTAAGGTGGTACGTGATCCTAGTACTAACACAACAGATGTTTCTGGTTACTGCATTGACGTCTTTAATGCTGTCATGGAAAAATTACCATATGCTGTTATTTATGACTTCATTCCCTTTGCAAAACCCGATGGTACAACCGCTGGCACTTACAATGATTTAGTCGACCAAGTTTATCTCGGGGTAAAATCATCTTAACCTCATTTAATATGTTTTTTATGATTAAAATGCAGCACAGTTCAACTTAATTCTGTCGGTATGTTTGATTTGTTTCGCAGAACTATGAAGCTTTGGCTGCAGCCACGACAATTAGAGCAAATAGGTCTTTGTATGTAGATTTCACATTGCCATATACCGAATCAGGTGTAGTAATGGTGGTGCGAACGAAAGATTACAAAAGCCAAAATGAATGGCTTTTCTTGAAGCCTTTGACATGGGATCTCTGGCTTACAAGTTCTTGCTTTTTTGTTTTCATTGGTTCGGTGATATGGGTTCTCGAACACCGCATTAACGAAGATTTTCGTGGCCCTCCCTCACATCAAGTCGGCACAAGCTTGTGGTTCTCCTTCTCAACCATGGTTTTTGCACATCGTAAGTAGAAGTGCCCTAAGCAGTAAGCATGTTGAAATACTACAAGCTATTGTTTCTACATATTTTTTACCTCAATTAATTACGTGCAGGGGAGATAGTGGTTAGTAACTTGGCTAGGTTTGTGGTGATAGTATGGCTATTTGTAGTGCTAATCCTTACTCAAAGTTACACGGCTAGCCTGACTTCAATGTTAACCATCCAACAACTCCAGCCAACCTTTTCTGATCTAAACGAGCTTATAAACAAGAAGGAGAGTGTGGGATATCCGAAGGGCTCATTTGTCTGCGAACTTTTGCTAGATAGAGGTTTTGATAAACAGAAGATTAAAGCCTATACATCTCCAGAAGAATGTGACGAACTTTTGACGAAAGGGACTGCAAAAGGTGGCATCGCTGCCGCTATTGATGAAACCCCAAACTTGAGGCTTTTTCTTGCAAAATATTGCTCCAAATACACCATCGTTGGGCCAATATTTAAGACATCAGGCTTTGCCTTTGTAAGTCCTTAATTCCTTTCTTTCTCACACACGTGTACAGAAACGCAATCGCGAGTCCTATATATGTTTCTTGAGTAATGCTCAATGATCCAGATTCACAAATTGACAACATAAGTTTATGTTGTCGCACAGTTTCTTAAGAGACAACATTCCTCATACGTCTTTCATGTATGTATCTACCTCATACGTCTTTCGTGTATGTATCTAGGTTTTCCCCAAAGGTTCGAATCTTGTACCTGATGTTTCAAAGGCGATTCTGAACCTGACAGAGGGAGACGAGATGAAAGAAATAGAGATCAAATGGTTCGGGAAACAAGCCACTTGTATAGACTCTCAGTTCTCCAATAAATCCAACAGGCTTGGCCTTAATAGCTTTTGGGGCCTCTTACTCATCGCTGGGCTGGCGTCATCCTTAGCTCTTGTCGTATCTGCAGTCTCCTTCCTGTATGTGCACAGGCAAACCCTAATGACAAGAGATACCTCTGCATGGGAAAGAATTCGGGTCATATTTAGAAGCTTTGTCCAAAAAGATCTCACTTCCCATACTTTTCGAAACCAGAATGTGGGGAATGCGGAGTCCTCAGCAGCCTTCAGCACCGGCCAGCCGAGCCCGTTTAGCCTCTCAAATCACACGGGTCCAGTCTCACCTTCCTTCAGTGAATTAGGTACTCCTGTTGCTGTTGGTCAAGAATCTCCAGCATGTTTAATGCCACCAGCATGTTGATGAGCTTGATCTTCGTAACCCACATATATTACTATTCAAACATCTGTTTGACATTCAGTAGTTTTGGTGTCATTTGAATCTCTAGTTTCTAATGCAAGCTTTCTTAAATTATACATCACAAGAGGACGACAATCCAAAAAAATCAACATAGCACACTGACTCATTACGAGCTTCAAGATTTTGACTTAATACAGGTTTTTACATGCCCTTTCTCATAGACTGAATTATATGTTTCTAAATAAGAGTATACAGAAGGAGAAAAAATGTCGTGCCAAAATTACCTTTTTAGATTGAATTATATGATATATAGGGTTAGGATCTATGAATATGCGCTTTTGACACACGTTTTTTGTGGGGCTTCCTCTGTAATATATTTCAACAATCCGAATCATTTATCTTTTAGTCTCCCCTAAAAGATCATGTACATCAAAAATCATCCAAATCTGAAATCATATGACCGTTGAATTAAGTTTAGTGGTTATTTGTAACACTGTATTCGTCCATTTTCTTCACACAAATCTTAATGAATTTTGGATTTGGCTAACTTTTTGTAAGAATGAAGTATGAATGATGTACTAACATATGGGTGGAGATCATTGAAGTACATTACGAAATGAGCCTTATCAAATGGGTGCCAATATGTGTGTCCCCGGATCCTAACCCAAAACTTCTTTACAACTAGTAATACTTGCTAACTAAGTAACTATACCACAAAATCTCATATCATAAAACATTGGTGACCTTATTGTCGTCTGTAAGAATTTCTCTTGAGCTTTAATGGCATACGACGGTCGACAGCACACCCTATGAACTCTTCCACTTTATCCATCCAGATTATATTCTACTATTGAGATCTCTATTCAATTCTCCGTTCCTTTGCAAGGTAGATCCAAGATAACAAAACCATTCACTCTTCGTACTTTCTGATCTTCAATCTGATCAATCCTCACCCCTATCTCATTTAGACCCCCTTTCCCATTGAATTTGTATTCCATATACACTCTGTCTTTGACCTACTTCGATGAAGACCTTTAGACCTAAACGTATAATGTATAATACGTATAAGAATAACAAGAAATAAATTAAGGATGGTTGGGTACTGAACTATAGTTTATCATGTCGAAATGATGGTATCTTATTTTTATGCAGTAGGTAAATGTGAAATGAAAGTCCCTGCATGAGAAGATTCAAAACTCCAAAGATTCCAGACAGAACAAAATTAGTTAATAAGGTATTTCTTAATGTAACTATTAAGGATACTAAAAATTCTTACGATGAATTAACAATGTATAAGAAACTACTTATTGACTTTGTGTGTGCCACGCACAGCTCTGTGAAAATTCCATGTAACAAGAGTCTTTGGGTCTTCTACGATTATAACTGACATATAGTATATAATACATACATTAATGTATTGTGTATATTACATAGTTGACAACACTGTATATTGTCCCTCCTACTCACTATACTGTATTGTCTTTTTCATGTAAGTAAATGCATAAATGGCAATTATATATATATATATAGACACACATATATATTAGTAATTTTAGAGAATACGAATGATTCAATTATATATTGACTTATCAAATACGTTTCGAAGAATAAAGAACAGGCATCCCTTTCATAGCCACGCTACATATATATGTATGGACTTTTGACCACCGATAGAGATGACCAGACTCACATGTTGATCAGTTCTATAACAAATTGACTGCACATTAGATGATTGGTTAAAATGATAAAAATACTAAGAGTATAGTCCATTGCAACAATGCTGCTATAGATTTGATTGATTGAATAAACTCAGAGTCTGAACTTTCACAAGAATTATTGATAAATTACTAGAAAGAATATGAAAGCAATCAAAGGACTTTAAACCTTTTTAAATGTAGACTCAGATTCTGAAACTTTGATTCTGCATTGAAATACTACGTACGTGTTAATTATGATCAATCTCACACAATAAGGAAGAATAAGAATGTAACAGACTTAGAGAGAGAGAGAGAGAGAAAGAGAAAGAAGAACTTAGAGAGAAGATGAATATTTCTGAACTGTTTTCTTAACATCTAAGTAATACAGTGTTGAGGTATTTATAGTTTTACACTTACACAGCTAACTTCCTTAACTAACTTCTTCTCTAATCTAATTACAAGTGTCAACATCTTAAACACCAATATCTCTATCCTATCATCCCCCCGCAAACACATGATTCGATGCTCGAATCATGAGATTGGTACAATGAGTACGAAACAGAGGAGAACTCAACCCTTTAGTCAAAATATCAGCAAACTGCTCTTTAGATGACACAAACTGAACAGAAAGTTGTTTCTTGGCAACACGTTCTCGCACAAAATGAACATCAACCTCAATGTGCTTAGTGCGTTGATGTTGAACCGGATTAAAAGCCAAAGCAATGGCGGACAAATTATCACAAAATAAAACCGGAGGTGATGACAGAGGAACCTGCAGAAAGACCAACAGTTGCTGAATCCAGTCTAATTCAGCGGAAGTAAAGGACAAGGCTCGATATTCCGCCTCTGTGGATGAACGAGAAACTGTTAATTGTTTCTTTGAGGACCAAGAGATAGGATTGTTGCCTAAAAACACAGCCATGCCAGTGGTAGAACGCCTATCATTCGGGTCACCTGCCCAATCAGCATCACTGAATGCTTTCAATTGCAGTGGGCCGTGGGAATAACAGAGACCATGATGAATGGTACCCTTGAGATACCGCAAAATGCGTTTGACAGCAGTGAAATGAGCAATCATAGGCTGTTGCATGAATTGACATACTTGATGGACAGAAAATGCTATATCCGGCCTTGTAAATGTAAGGTACTGCAGTGCACCTACTACACTCCTGTACAACGTTGGATTGTTATAAGGAGCACCATCATCTTTGAGAAGCCGGTTATAGGGCAAACAAGGAGTTTCACATGACTTGGACTCAAGCATCTCAGTTTTAGTAAGAAGATCCAAAATATATTTGGATTGAGACAAACATAAGCCATGTGCAGTGCGAGAGATTTGAATGCCCAGAAAGAAATTCAGATCCCCCAGATCCTTGATATCAAATTCCTTGGTTAAAGCACTAATAACCTGTTGCATAGCTGCAGCTGCATTCCTTGTGATAATGATATCGTCCACATAAAGCAGCAAGATGACAATACCAGATTCAACTGTCTTGACAAACAGGGAGGAGTCAGAATAAGTATGTTTAAAACCCAAAAGAGGCAAGAACTTGGTAAATCTGTCATTCCAAGCTCGAGGGGCTTGCTTAAGTCCATAAAGGGACTTGTGCAACTTGCAAACAAGATGAGAAGTAGCACCATCAACAAAACCAGGAGGTTGGGTCATATACACCTCTTCATCCAAAATGCCATGTAAAAAGGCATTCTTGACATCGAGTTGCCTAAGGGGCCAATTAAATTGAGCTGCCAAAGCCAATACTAGTCGAACCGTGGTAGGTTTAACCACAGGACTGAAGGTTTCCCCATAATCAAGACCCGGTTCTTGACTGAACCCTTTAGCAACAAGCCTAGCTTTATGCCGAGCAATAGTGCCATCAGAATGCTTCTTGATCTTGAATATCCATTTGCACCCGACCAAGTTCTTTGTAGAAGGTAATGTCACCAAACTCCAAGTACCTTGTTTATGTAAAGCATCGATCTCCTCTTGCATAGCTTTCAACCAAGTAGAATCCTTTATTGCAGTTTTATAAGAATTTGGTTCAATAAGAGACAAATCAGTGCAGGCAGACTCCTGAATAGTAGCTAATAAGGCTTTGATCTTGATAATACCATTTTTGCTCCTAGTTTGCATAGGATGCAAATTGAGAGGTGGAACCTCCAACACCACTTGCAAAGTATCAGGACCAAACGATGCTGCTGGAGAAGTATCGGAACCATTGACAAGAGCCACAGGGACAGGGACTGGAGAATGAGTAGTGGAAGAACCAGTAATGGATGGAAAAGATAGGGGTGAGGAAGGGATAAGAGAGATGGATATGGGAGAAGGAGCAGGTGATGAGGAAGAGGCAGGAGTGGTAGGAGATGATGGTGATCTAGATGAGGAATGAGACATAGGTAACACAACATTGTCATTAGAAATCACAGGTGCAGGAAGTGTGAAAGGAGGAACTGAAGAAGATTGATATGAGACTTTAGAGTGAACCAACAAAGATGTGTAAGGAAATTGATCCTCATCAAACATAACATGTCTTGAAATATAAACTCGCTGTTTGGAAACCTCATAACATATATACCCTTTATATTTGGTAGCATACCCCAGAAAAATATACTTGGTGGTCTTGGCTTGTAGTTTAGTAGCATTATAAGGCTTTAACAAAGGATAGCATGCACAACCGAATATCCGGAGATGAGAGATTACAGGAAGATGACCAAACAAAAGTTCAAAAGGAGATTTAAGTCCTAGCACAGAAGAAGGCATTCGATTAATAAGATAGACAGCTGTTTGACAGGCATATGACCAAAAACAAGCAGGTAACCTAGCTGTTTGTAATAGAGTCACAGTGGTTTCAATAATATGCCTATGCTTTCGCTCGGCTAGACCATTTTGCTCGGGTGTATGTGGGCAAGAAAGATGATGAGCAATGCCCTTTTCAAGAAGAAAGGACTGAAAAACCTTACTGACATACTCACCCCCTCCATCACTCTGTAAGGTTTGTATAGCAGTTGCAAACTGAGTAAGAACAAATGAATAGAAAGCAACAAAAGTAGCAAAGACATCAGATTTGTTGATCAATGGAAACAGCCAACAATGTCTTGTATATTCATCGATAAAGGTCACATAATATCGATAACCATCAATGGAAATAGAAGGAGCGGGACCCCAAAGATCACTATGAATAACAGCAAAAGGTTTTACAGACTTATTGGTACTTAGGGAAAAGGGAAGTTTACAAAACTTGCCCTCCAAACAGCTAGAGCACATTACAGGTAAGGAAGACTTGGAACAAGGAATATTAGCTTGCTTTAGCATCAAAGAACCAATGTTATTAGATGGGTGACCTAGTCGATTATGCCAGGTTGTAGAATGAACATGCTGACCAAGGAAAGCTTTAGCTTGAAATGGAGTTGAATGTGTAGAATGAGATGTGGCAGAAAGACAAGGGATGGGATAGAGACCATTACTGCATTGTCCTTTGTAAATGATCCTCCCTGTGGCCTTGTCTTGAATCCATAAGTAGAAAGCATCAAAGATTAGCCAGCAGTTATTATCTAAACAGATTCGGTGCACAAATAACAAGTTTTGAGTCAACTTCGGAACATAAAGCACATAATTGAGCTTAATCGGATGCACAGAATTCAGTTTAGAAACATTAAGAACTGTGCTACCAATATGAGACACAGGCAAACCTTCACCATTGGCAGTTTGAATGGTCTCAGATGTAGGATATGGTGATGCCAAAGATAGGTTACTGAGATCGGCAGTCATGTGATTAGTAGCACCAGAGTCAGTAATCCACACTTGAGGATTAGAATAAGAAGTAGATGGTGATGATGGTGACTGAGGCATCACAGTATGCAGTGCTTGAGGAGATTGTTGAGGAGCATGAAAAGGCTGAGGTTGCATTGATGAATGCTGAAATGGAGCAGGATAGTGTGAAGCACCATATGGGGATGATTGCACTTGAGAAGGATAGAACTGTCGGGTAGGACCACCAAAATTAGGACCCTTGTCATTGAAAAAACAGTACCATGTGCTGTGATTATGCTTGCCACATATTTGACAAGAAGCTCGATCAGGAGGTTTAGACTGACAATATGGAGCAGTGTGTCCTTCAACATTACACGTTTGACAAGTAGGCAGCAATGGTGCACTTGGATGACCAAAATATGGTACTGGTGATTGACCAAGAATGCCCGGACTTGGTGTAGGAAGCACATGGGTTTGAGTATACTGTTTGGGTGAATAGAACCGAGCCCCTTGATGAAACTTGCCTTTCCCTTTGTTTTTATTCCCATTAAACTACTTATATCCTCCAGAAAAGAATTGAGACTGCCCTGATGCAGGATTAGGTGAGTGATGCTTGCCAGAATGAGGGACAGTATTAGCAACCATGGCAGTAATAAAAGGTGCAGTTGTGGAAGTGTCAACAATGACCTCTTCAGCAAGCAACTGAGACCGAAACTCCTTAAGAGAGATTACATTCTCACGACCCCGAATAACACAGCGAAAAGTGTTATATTCAGAGGGTAACCCATTGAGAGCAAGAATAACTATGTCCTCATCCGCAAAATAAACCCCAACAGCAGATAAGTAATCTCTAGCCTCTTTAATTCTGTGAAGATACTGAGACACCGAATCAGACCCTTTCTTTACCGTCTGAAGATTGGACTTCATTTGGAAAATGCTGGTCTTAGACACCGTAGAGAACTGTTCTTTCAGACGAAATCCAAAGATCCTGAGAACTCTTACTGCCAATAGCACAAGACAATGCAACGGAGACAGACAGAGTGGCTGTGATCAATTGCATTATAGCACGATCATGCATTTTCCATACCACAAATGCATCGGATTCAGCAGAAGTACAGGAGCCAGATTCAGGAGGAGAAACTGCAAATTGAAGTGGACAAGGGTGCGAGCCATCAACAAACCCCATAATACCATTGCTTTCCAACAAAAGTTGTATCTGAAAATTCCAATTGAGATAATTGGAATCATCCAATTTGACATTAACCGAAGAAGTCGAAATTGTGGAGATTAAAGCAGTAATCGGAGATTGCACAATTTGAAGTTGAGTTGCAGTCACCATGGAAATTTCTTCGGAAAAACTCTCTGAGGAAGTATAACAAACAGTTGATATGCAAGACGGAAGGAAGCAGAAAAGATGATCGACGAAAAATCATGACCACCCAAGAAACCCTAGAAATCCAAATCAGAAGAAGACGAAGAAACGCAGAGAACAACCAGACACAAATCAAGAAGAACGAATACACCTTCAATCGGAATCGGAGCGGAAGCAGAGGATCGAAGATTATGCGCAGGCAACAATGGCGATTGATACCATGTTAATTATGATCAATCTCACACAATAAGGAAGAATAAGAATGTAACAGACTTAGAGAGAGAGAGAGAGAGAGAAAGAGAAAGAAGAACTTAGAGAGAAGATGAATATTTCTGAACTGTTTTCTTAACATCTAAGTAATACAGTGTTGAGGTATTTATAGTTTTACACTTACACAGCTAACTTCCTTAACTAACTTCTTCTCTAATCTAATTACAAGTGTCAACATCTTAAACACCAATATCTCTATCCTATCAGTACGCACATTTTTCTCAATCTCTAAATTGCCAATAAAAGAAAAAAAAAAGAAAAAAAACTCTTAAACCAATTTTTTGAAAGTGTTCAAATCCATCTCTAAAGACTCAATGTTTGAAAGGGGTGCTTTTTGCTAATTTATTTATACCAGTTGATTACACTCCAAAAATGTAGCCAACTTGTTTAATTTAAAGTTTTAAAAAGCTTTAAAAGTACGTGGGAGTTTTGTAAATTATCTTATTGCTAATCTCAGATTTAATGAAATCAAATTGGAGGTAGCCATATTTTGGTTGTGCCACAATGGAGCTAGACTTTATTGTCTAAAGTATAGAGGAAGTTTTTTTTTTATAACTTTTTTTATGAATAGTAGCTTAAACAGCTTCATGACATATATTTCTTGCGAAAGAGACATGGTTCTCCAATATAATTAATTGTGATTGTGAAAAATTGCTCGAACAAATAATGAGGCCTATGATTTGCATGGAAAAAAAGTTTGAGACTAACATTTGATGCAGTGAGTGTTGAGAATCAATGTCAAAGTTAGGCAATGTTAGGTATGGTTGTGTGGAAAAAATAATTAGGTGCAATTAATGTGTTTTGTGTGGTAGTAAATAATCTTAGTTTAATTAAGTAGCTTTCATTTGGATTGCTATAAATACCCAAGTCCCCAAGCCTTGTAAATCATCCAAAGGAAAAACAAAGCTAAGTGCTAAATAAGAAAAGCTTTGCTAATTAGTGTTTTTGTGAGCTTTCTTTAAGAGTGTGCTTTATTTTCTTCTTCTTGGGATCATTAGAGTTATCTTGGATACTCTTTTTGTTCAACATTGAGGGGATGGAGAATTAAGATGTTGAATAATTAGTGATGACTACCCAATCTATTTTAAGTAGTGCTACACTTATCATTTATTTGTACCATCATTTGTACGAAGTCTCTCCAATCTACCATGAACTGGGATCGCAGTAGATTGAAGAGACTTTTTTTCTCTCTAAAAGAAGTGAGGCCGCCAACACATGAATCATATCTCTATTAGAGACATGTACAAATAAATAGTAAGAATGTTATTTTTGATCTATTTTATTGGAGATCCCATGATGTATAGGTTCAAGGGAAAAACAAGTCATTGATTAATACATGCTAGTACTATTCGATTAATGCTCCTCCCTATGGTGATCGTAGAGAATAGTACATGATTGCAATAAGTTGCAACAAGTTGTGACGATGAGTTTATGTTCCTAATTAATCCATAGCCTACGTTAGTGTGGAATTGAGACCGCTTTCCACAAAAGTTCTAGGCTTAACTTCCTATGAAGCTACATGAACTAATAAAAAATAAAAAATTCTGACTTAAATTGTGGCTTGCATAAACTTGACTTCGCACTGCATTTGTTTAGTATTCCCCCCCCCCCCATGTTGGTATTCCCCCCCCATGTTGGGAAAGTTCTTGAGTTTGAATCTTCCTCTAGGATCCAAGCAAAAATTCTCATTTAATCATAAAAGTTTTTCATTTCGTGGACTTCAGTCTTCTTAGCTAGAAGCCTAAATTATTAATTTGAACCAGCAATTCATATGTGAAGTTCTAATACAAAGTTGTCAGGCATATGCTTGTCTTTTGGGTCAAGAATAAATATTTTATTTAGGAGAATTTCGGTGTATGAGAGAATTTTATTGATATATAAAAAAAAGTTATACCTAGTCAGGAAAACATAAACCTTACTTCTCATGAAGCAAAAAAAAAAAAAGAAAAAAAAAAGCAAAATCAAAATACAGGAAAAGAGGGGGGTTATAAAACTTACCATTCTTGAAAAGAAAAAATACAAAAAAAGAAAAAGAAGACATAAACCTTACCCATTTTGAAAATAAAAATACAAGTAATGGAGGGAGATATAGTGCCAATCCCATCTAAAATAAAGCTTAAAAGATTACCTGCAATATGCAAAACAAAAAGAAAAACCCAAAAGGATTGGGTCAATGACTCAATAATATATGTTACGTCCTTGAACTTTGAATCAAGTGGTGGATTAATTAGACTTAAGAAAGACTTAAGTTTATACCTCTTTTCAAATGAATACTCCGTTCCGCGTAGATGACTGTCTTTTTGGCATCATTTGCAATACACCTTCGATACTCTCGACCATACACATGACGACAAGAGATTGGTGGGTGTATTAATTCTAGATGTTCATTCAATAAACATAAGGTAATGTTAGAGAGACTAAATTTGGAGAGAAAATTTACAAACTATAAACATAATTCAATTAGTTGATTAATCTTTCAAAATCCATATACATAACCATTATTTAATTGTTTGACAAAAAAACCATTATTTAATTAATCTTTCAAATCGAAGATCGTTTAATTATCCAAATGTATAAAAAAAAAATTGATGGTTCATATTATATTCATAATCAATCGTCGATTTTTTATATACATTTGGATGATTAAACAATCTTTGATTGAATGATTTTTTTTTTAGAGATAATCTTCAAATAAAAATTAAAAAAAAAGAACAATTATGATTATAGAGTTTATAATGATAAATATACATTATTCGCAAAAGATAAAATATTTGCATTTCTAATGTAAGGACCATCCAAAAGTAATAAGTAAAAATGTGATTAGTCTTTTTTAATTCTTTTAAATGATTCTGAATGGTTCCATTAAGCAGCTTAATAAATTGATCTGTACGTATACGGATTGGGTCCTAGCGGGAGACTGACTTAGTCCTTTTGAGTTTTGAATTTTTTCCTTTTCCAGGGACTTTTCATACCTTACCTACCGCCTATAAGAATACCGTGATCTCCACTCCGATTATGTGCCTTGCAAATAAAGAAAGCATTCAAATTAACATGACCATGATCAAGAAGAACCCTAGCAGTATCCTCGTTCTTTTTATCTCTTTCTGCTTTCTCTTCCCCCTGTCATGGAGTTTCAATATGGCGGCCATGGCAGCTGCGGAAAACACAACGATCCCAGTGAATGTGGGTGTTGTTGTTGACCTCAATCAAACCAGTCAGAGAGGGAAGATGTATTTAAGTTGCATCCAAATGGCCCTCGAGGACTTCTATGCCTCTCATGCTCACTTCAAAACTAGGCTCGTTTTGAACACTAGGAACTCCAAAAAAACTGTTGTTGGTGCAGCTTCTGCAGGTTCTCTCTCTCTCTCTCTCTCTCTCTCTCTCTCTCTCTCTCTAAACCATGCATTATAAACTTCATCTGTTATACTGAATGAAGCCTTTAGATGCATCGATCCCCTGTTATATATGATTTGTTTAATTTAAATAATTGTTCTTATATATGCATGTTAATTAATATTTTACCCCACAAAATTCATGAAATATTACTTAGGATAGTACAATTCACACACCTATTTTTATCTCCACACATATTTGTTAATTTTTGGTCATTAATATTCTTCAATTCATTCAATTTGACGGTCGAAAAATGAGAAGGGTGTGTAAGAAGTAAAAATAGGTGTGTAAATATCACTACTTATACTTAAGGTGTTTCTCGTAAAGTCATCTATAACTCTATGTGCAAGTGGGCTTAACTTGTACAAATTGCAATGCAAACCCTGCAATTGTCGATCTCACATTTTTCATATGGGTAATGTTATCCATACATTCATTTTTACTTCTCATACACTCTTCTCAATTTTTTATCGTCGGATCGGATAAATTGATAAAAATTCATGGTAAAAAAATGAACAAGAATATGTGAGGAGTAAAAATGGATTGTAAATATCACTATCTTTTTATATAAGACAAAGATTGTATTTTTACTCTTTCTTCCATCTCTTTTATTGTATTTTTGAATTTTGAATATTTTAAAAATTGGTTTATTTTTAATCTACTCAATATCTTCTAAGAAAAAACTAATATACTAGTATAAATCCATTTGCAGCCTAACTGAAAGATCAAATACACGAATGGATAATATACATATCGCGAGATATGAAATCCAACTAAAAGGTACATAAAGTATAATATACCTACAAGTAAGACACATTAATCTGTGATACACGTTGACTATGAAAAATAATATGTCATATATGTAGATAAATACAATTAACTTGTAGTATAGGTTGATTATAAAAATGAAAAATAAAATATATGAACATGGTTTAGAGGAGGAAGAGGAAGAACAAACAACAAAAAGAAAAAAAAGAAATAAAAAGAAATAATTAAAGATATAATTAGGAAGAGATTTAATTCCTATAGTAAATTTTATCATTAAAGAGATAATTATTGATAATTAAATAATCCAAAACTCAAAAGATCAAACCCATTTTAATAAAATTAACTATTCTTAATATTGGTTCAAAAATTGGATTCATATCAAGTTTTCACTTCTTTTTAAATTCCGTGGTACAACCAAGTTTTCTTAAAAAGTTTAATCTTATCAAATGAATCAATCCTAACTTTCACTTTTTTTTATTGGGACACAAGCTCTAGATCTGATAAACAATGTAGAAGTGCAAGCAATCCTTGGCCCAGTGACATCAATGCAGGCAAGCTTCGTTGTTAATCTTGGAGACCGAGCTAATGTGCCCATTGTATCATTTTCTGCAACAAGCCCTTCTCTTACTTCACTCCAAAGCTCTTACTTCTTCCGAATTGCACAAACCGACTCGCACCAAGTGCAAGCCATAAGTGCCATTGTTAAAAATTTCGCATGGAGAAAAGTTGTGCCAATTTACGTAGACAATACGTACGGAGAAGGAATCATACCCCTTTTAACCGGTGCATTACATGAGGTTGGTGCTCATGTCCCTCATCGGTGTGTCATTCCCCCATCAGCCACTGATGAACAAATTGGCAACGAGCTTTACAAGTTAATGACAATGCAAACTAGAGTCTTCATCGTGCACATGTTGCCCAAACTTTGCTCTAAGCTATTTGCCAAGGCAAAAGAAATTGGAATGATGAGTGAAGGCTATGTTTGGATCGTGACCAACGGAGTAGCAAATCGTTTATGGTCTATGAATCCCGTCATCTTAAATTCAATGCAAGGAGTCTTAGGAGTTGAAACTTATGTTCGGAGAACAAAGGAGCTCCAAGAGTTTAAAATGCGGTGGAAAAAGCAATTCCAACAAGACAATCCAGCCATCATGGAAGTTGATGTAGATGTGTTTGGACTTTGGGCTTATGATGCCACTTTTGCTCTAGCCTTGGCAGTTGAAGAAGTTGGAATTAATGCAAGCTTGGGATTCCGAAAGGGGAATTCATCCTTCAATTCGACAGATCTTAATACTTTCAAGGTTTCTCAAGATGGATCACAACTTGCCCAAGCCTTATCTAGTACTTCATTCAAAGGCATAGCTGGTGACTTCAGTCTTAAAGATGGGCAACTTCAATCATCAACCTTTAAGATAGTTAATTTAAATCGTTATGAGGTAAGAACAATAGCATATTGGACACCGGAAAGTGGAATGGTGGAAACATTGAATTCAACAAACACTAGTACACCTTCAATTTCGAGGATGTTTAATTTTGAAGATAAGATTAAATGGCCAGGAGATTCTCTCATTGTTCCAAGGGGATGGGAGATCCCAACAAAAGGCAAGAAGTTGAGGATTGGAGTACCTGTGAAGTCTGCTTTTACTGAGTTTGTTACGGTAACCAAGGATTCTAGCACCAATAAAACAGATGTCACTGGGTTTAGTATCGATGTCTTTAAGGCTGCAGTGGAACTGTTACCTTACGACCTTCATTTCGAGCTCATTCCCTTTGCAAAGCCGGATGGCACCAGTGCTGGCACTTACAACGATTTGGTCTATCATGTATATCTTCAGGTAAATTTGATATAAAAATAACCAATTAGTCAGTTAGTTAGGCACTGTGCCCATACATTTCTCTGATTTAACATGTTTGCTTGACAGAAATTTGATGCTGTGGTGGGAGATATAACAATTAGAGCAAATAGATCTTTATATGCGGACTTTACAATGCCATATACAGAATCCGGTGTAGTCATGGTTGTGCCAATCACCGACACCAGGAGCAAAAGTCCATGGGTTTTTTTAAAGCCTCTGACATGGGACCTATGGCTTACAACTTTTTGTTTCTTCATCTTCATTGGCTTTGTAATTTGGGTGCTTGAACATCGAATTAACGAAGATTTTCGGGGTTCTCCCTCACACCAAGTTGGCACAAGCTTTTTCTTCTCTTTCTCAACCTTGGTCTTTTCAAATAGTAAGTATATTCGTATCACCTCTCCCAAATTTCGAGTAAAGATTTCATAATATTCGGACCGCGCTTGATTTTTCTTCCTTCAAGCTGTGCCTATATTGACACTTAAATTTGTTATTCGCTATTACAGGGGAGAGAGTGGTTAGCAACTTGGGTAGATTCTTGATGGTTATATGGGTATTTGTTGTGCTAGTTTTGACACAAAGCTACACAGCTAATCTAGCATCACTACTAACGGTTGAGCAGCTGCGGCCAACTGTCACGGATATAAAGGATCTTCTAAAGAATGGGGACAATGTCGGCTACATGAAGAATTCTTTCGTCTATGAACTTTTGAAACAAGTCGGTTTTGGTGAGTCCAAGCTTAAGGCTATGAAATCCATGGAAGATTGCGCTGAAGCTCTTTCCAAAGGGAGCAAAAGTGGTGGCATTACTGCTTTTGTTAATGAAACCCCCAACATGAAGCTTTTTCTTGCACAACATTGTTCCAAATGTACCATGATTGGTCCTATCTTCAGAACAGATGGTTTTGCCTTTGTAAGATGATTTTTGCCTAAATATATAACGTATACCTATGTATATATTAGGACAGTGATTTTGCATTTTCTCATGCTGTACTCCGTTACAAGAGATGCCAGCAAAAGATGATGACTTCTTCGAGGTGTCTTTGCAGGTGTTTCCAAGGCATTCTCCTCTTGTGCCTGATATTTCACGGGCGATCCTAAACGTGACAGAAGGAGAAAGGATGAAGAAAATTGAAAGCAAATGGTTCACTCAAGAAATGGATCGTGAAGCTAAGTCCGGTACACCAAGTTTTTCAAGCGGCAGTCTTGGCCTTGAAAGCTTTTGGGGCCTATTCCTCATTGTCGGTTTGACGTCAATTCTCGCGCTAGTCATCTTTGCAGCTTCATTCCTTTACAATCATAGGCATATATTGGAGCACCCTAATTCAAGAGCTTCAAGATGGAGAAGGATTCGAGCCATGATTAGAATTTTCAACGAAAAAGACCTCAACTCCCACAAAGGCAGTCAACAAGGAGATGGAATTGCTTGTGGGGGAGATGAAGTTAAGGCATCACCTAATAGCAACTGGCTGGAAGATAAGGATTTGGGATTGTATGAAGGGCAACAAACTCCATCGACTACTGGCTATTCGTCTCCGGAGATAGTTCAAATAATTCAGCTTGCTATCCTTAAATGAGAAAACAAATAGTAAGTGGTCAAGAAAAAGAAATAGAAGTTGTACCATTACTTCAATTCTAATATGAACCATACTATCATGTAGAATCACAATTTCTGAATCTCTCCATCCACCTTCACATTCCTTTAATTCTTTATTATTAAAACAATTCAAATATTTAGATATATATGGGCGTAGCCACATTGAGTACAGCAGATATGCTCTCCTATGCACTCGAGTTCAAGTCTTCTTTTAGATTAGTTTAAGATAAAAACAATTGAAAGACTGTTTTATATTATACGAAGTCAGTTTTGAATTAGTTTATGTATAGGTCCGGTCAAGTAAATTCCTACATCCGGAATTTAAATTCTAGTTGGCTGCTTTCAATGTAACGCGTAGTCAAGATTCAAGAGTAGTATGCTTCAACTTTGAATTTAAGTGGTGGAATCTTAAGACTACTTCCGATTTGTCAAATGCCAACTTGTCAATGTTTTTCGTTGCAACTTGAATACATTATCTGTGCATAGCATTAAAAGTGTAGATTCTTCTTTTACTTGTATTAATCTATACATTATTCATAATTAATACCCAGTTGAGAGCTTTGGTGTACATTTCCTAATTGTTCTCTCCAATCTATCACGTTTTATATAAACGAAGACTCGTTTTTACTCGATTCCATCAATTTCTGACCAAGCTTGAATAATATCAAACATGGCCAAAAATTCTAGCTGCACCCCCGTTTTTTCTCTCTTCTTTTTCTTCTTACGAGAAAATATGTCCACGCGCTGCTGCGAGACTTGAATGCATTTGCCTTAACTGCATGAATAAGATATTTAATCTAAAATTAAGACACATGCACCACGCACTCGTCTCTCAGAGAGATAAGCAAAGATAAAAAAAACAGAGAGGTAATGTCACATTGTTTTGCATGATCTTGAAAATTGGGATAAGGTATTCAAAGTGCTAACAAAGACGTGCAAATGGCATTGAAATGCTAAAAAGGGCATTTTGAATAATTATGTGATGCAGAAACAAAAACACAATTGACTTTCAAACTACAGAATAAATGATAAAAACCACATACTTGCACCCAATGCATTATTTTTTTTCTTTTTTTCTGTGCAGTATAAGAAAAAAACAGGATAACATTCCCCTGAAACCAAATTCATCCCCCAATTTCTTGCAACAAATTTCAGTAATTACGAACGCAACTAAATCTTAAATAAATAGAGCTGTTCAATTATATTAAACTACATATAGGGAGGGGAAGAGAGAAAAGAAAGAAAAGAGAGACCTGGGTACCTCCATCGTGTACTGAAAGATGCCAATTTCTATCACCAAGGAGAACAAACTTTTTCAAATGCTTAGGCTTGGGTGGCATGTCTAAGCATCTGTGCCAACTCATAAATACATACATACATACATATATATACACACACACACATACCCTAAAAGTAAGAGTGTAAAATCTATGCTAAAATAAACAACTAAGCATCAGCAGGACCTCGTAAAAAGTAGGTGATCATATGTGTTCTTCAACTTTCTGTCGAACCTGCAATCAACGAAAGTGATCCACCATGAAAAACATGGTTAACCACCATGTACGACATGAACCAAAGAAACCCACTACTGAAGCTATATATAATCATTGAAGAAAAACCTTTTACATCCAGCACAAAGCAAACTATAATCAAAATTTGAACAAACCAAAATAACATGCAGATAAATAAATAGAAAAAAAAAAATAGTCGAAATTTCTTTTATGTCCAGCAATGGAACCATTAGAGATTGTGTAGAGACAAAGCAGTAAACACCACCAGAGAATAGTATACACACATACCTATCAGGATAGTAAAACGAAAACAACTAAACATGTAAATTTAAAGGTCACTCGGAACATGCTAAAAGTAAAAACTAAATTGCATACCGATTGGCATCTGGATTTACCTTTAAAATGGCATGTGATATGTCATTAATAAAAGCCCTGAATTCTTGGTTCACTCCGCTAAATTGGTAGGAGCTTTTGCTTTATCCATCAGAACCTTAAAACAAAACCTGTAATAGTATGATAAGCGATGAAGATCGGGTAAGTTTATTAGACATTGTTTCAAAAACAAATTGAGACTCGTGGGAAAAAAAGAGAAAGAATCAAATATCATGTTATATTCTGACAATACTCTGAGATGGTATGAAGTCACCTCATCTAATTTTATGACAAATGAGCGAGACTCGTTAAAGAAACTCAGTAATGGGTAGAATGTTTAATCTATCTGAAGAAAGAAGTGATAACGTTGTAGTTATTTTATCAGGAGGCGTTAAAACCATGAATCAAGAGGATTATAGACCAGGGATTTCAAATATTTCAATTATAAGAAAACTTGTTTGCAATACTGAGAAAAAGCTTATTATTGTTGATAAAAATGCACACAACACCAATGGATCATGCCATAAAAATTACGCCATGAAAAATCCAGAGACCAAAATCCCCGCCGGCAGAATTTATTCACATCAAAGGATGCACAATCTTGGTTTAAAAAACCAATCAAATTTAAATTCTAATACCATATGATCAAATGTTAATCAAACACACAATCTCAAAAAACCGAAACCATGTTAAGCAAAAGAAACAGAAGGAAAAGAGTGAAGATGTAAGCATTGATAAGAATATGAAAAGTGGCAGCACTGATATCATGGACAGATAGGACAACGAAATATCGGAACCAGCAGCAACAAATAGAACCAAGAAGGAAAAGGATTGCTAAAATAAATAAATAAGAAATCGGACAGAGGCACAAACCAACGACATGAGCTCAGTTTTTTCACCATGAATTTTGCATGGCCTGAAATCAAGAAAAGGACGTGTTTACCGGGATTTTGAAGTGGACGTCGGCAGTCCGAATGACAGCGATCATCCATCTTTTGATGGTCCAGAACCGACCCGGGACACTCATACGAAATCCAAAAAGGCAGTATTATCTGGAACAAAATAACATTATGGCATGATATTTGATTAAGATCCGTTTCTACCAATTTGATGGCAAAAACACACCTCTCCCATGCAGGAATGAACCTAACCATTTAACCGTTGGTGCTGCCGCACATTGTTATCAATTGTGGGTTTATCAAATCCTTCATGGCTTAGACTGCATGAAGAATTAGAAACTAAAAGATGAATATATGCTGTAAATCATCATATAAATGTAACTGCATTTGAAAAAAAAAAAGGGAATGAAAAAATTGAATTCTATTGCGTCAGTATGTAACTGCATGAAAAGTTACATTGAATGCATACTCAATCAATTTCCCCAAAGTCATTGTTAACTGAAAATCAATACCAAACCCATAAATACCACCATTGAATTTGGCAAAACCCAAAAAAAAAATACAAAAATTTACTCATATAATCACAGAAAAACATGAAATTTGAGCACCCATTTGGCCAAGTTAAAGGATAAAGGCACTCACATCATCATAGTACTCTTTGGGAAGATCTTCTAATACTGGTTCTTCCTTTTTCTTGCTCTTCCTCAGAACTGCCATAAAAAAACCCAGAGAAGCACATAAATTCAGAAAAGAAAAGGTCCAAAACTGCCATAAAAAATCCAGAAAGCATACAAATTTATTAGAAAGAAAAGTTCAAATTACAAAAACCAACTGATGTGAGTGAGTAGTGAGAGGTTGTGTTAGGCACCTGAAACACGTTTTGGTTTCAATTGGGAGGGCCAGAGCCTTACATGCGAGGAAGATGGATTCCAGAGACAGAGAAAGGAGGAGTAAGACGATGGAGGCGAGAGAAGGGAGACGGCAGCGAGAGGAGGATGGGACGGAGGCGAGACCGTCTGTGGTGCGATACACGGTGGGTTTCACAGCTATTACTCAAAATACGCAACATGAAAGCCTGTTTGATCATTGTGCCAGAGTTTCTGCTTGTCTGCAAAATTGGGAAAATTGCCGCACAGGTTCACAACTCGTCGTCTTCCCTTTATCAATGGCTCCTTTAAATATCCAAATGATTAAGGTCGATGTGCTCGCATAATACTTGATGAGCTCCTTTTGGTAATCCACCTAAAACAAATAAGCACAATATCTATGTAAACTGGCATTTCACTCAATTATACATTAGTTATGGCATCTTTGGAACTAAATGACTTCAACCTTAATATCCTATAAGCAGTATGTTTCTATATTTAAAATCCTGTTACGATAACAGGTAAATATAGATGATACAAAAGTAATTTAGTTCCATCATGCATATTTTCGCACTATTTAGTAAAGAACTCGGCCGGACTCGATTCCGAACAACATTCACAATTTCATATAGAATTTCAAAAGCCAGAGACTTTAGTGTAAATTACAATAAAATTTCACAAAGAAAGCAAATTGTAATATAAGTCTGATCTACAATTCGGATTTACCTGGATATGGTGATTTACGTTTCCATTGGAAATTTTGCATGCATTTACATCTGATGAAAAAAGAATACATCATTAGTTGGCAGGAAGGAACTTTGATAAGCGGATAAAGAAGCAAGATTGAATATAAGTTTCGTGTACCCTGAAGTTGTTTGTTCTTGCTACAGAAAGACTCGCATCCGTTGCAGCCGCTTCTATGTTCTTCATGGTTTCAGTAATGGTATGCTTGGGTACAATTCTTGTTGTCTTCTATTTCTCATCCTAAATTAAGTTAACAGTTCCAACATTATTCGTTATAAGCTAAAAAAGTAGGATTAGTTATTTTAGTAAATCTATTTCTTGTAAACTTGCCTGTTCATCGAACAGACCTGACAAATCGAGATCATTTGGCATGGCTATCAATTGGAATGCATTCATAAAACTCGAGGATTTGGGAATTATTGTCTCCGCCACACTTTCCTGCAATGAAAATAACAATTGTAACAAAAATCAGATATTTGGATCGAAGGTAAGATTCTAGCATTTTCTCCGTGTCACAATCATGCAGAGCTTTTACCTCAATCGAATCCAACACCAACCCATCACAGCTCGTTGATCACTCAGAACACTGAACGCAAAAATCAACAAAATTTCACCATTTTAAATTATAATTCGTTTCATATTCTTTAATCCACCAAAGAAGCAAAAAATTAAAATTAAAATTAAATTAAAAGTGAACCTGGTGGTCGTGGGTGCCGTCGCCGATGAGGAGTTCGAAGGGATAGATTTTAGCTTTTTCGTTGAAAAGCTGGCTCCTCTCTGCAAGTCGCATGCCTTCCCTCTCTCTCCTCCTCTCTGCAAGCAGCATGCCTTTCCACCAAATCCCACACTGAGCCATCGATCCCACCGAATGCAACCCTAACTGACAACAATGCCCACCCAACTTACCCCCAACCGTGCCCTAGACGAGCATTCCCGTCATTCGAACCGATGGCATCTTCGTAAAAAGCTAAAAGCATCGGAGTGGCAATCTTGTAAATAAACTGAAATGTGGTTCAAAACACTGTTCATTTGTAAAGCAATGGCTTACGTCTACTTTCTTGGCAATGGCACAGGAAACCAAGACTACCCCAGTAAATGTGGGTGTTGTCGTTGACTCGAATACCAGATTTGGGAAGATGGCACCGAGCTGCATCAGCATGGCCATCTCCGACTTCTATGCCTCGCACCCTAGCTACAAGACCAGGCTTGTTCTGCACATTAGGAACTCCTCTTCAAATGTCGTTGCCACAAAGGTATAAAATATCAATGATATCGGAAATATCGGTACTTCAAAAACACGGAACTTTCAATAGAAATATCGGGATATTATCGATATCGATAAAAATTGAATAAAAACCACGGAAATTGTAAGAAAAACTTGAAAATTTTTATTGAAACTTTGCAGGATGTTTATTTAGTCAATTATCTATTAGTTTATCACAAAAAATTGGAAGGAAATGCATTGCATGATAGATATAACTAATTTAAGTTGATTATATAACGAGCTGGCAAACATTGTGAGTAGAAAATATGTAGTAATTAATGAAATAAGTTTAAACACACCATAATCATTTATATATAATGAATTAATACAATATTTTACACTTTATACATTGTATGGTAAGATACATGAGTGACTTAGCAAGGTCTAAAATATCGATGATATCGGAAATATCGATGATATCGGTAGTCCAAAAACACAGAAATTTCGATGGAAATATCGGGATATTATGGATATTTTAGACCATAGTTGCCACAGCTTCCGCAGGTAAGTTATCATCATATCGTTTTTCTTATGAGTTGGTATTCCCTTCTTTTGTATCATATCTTGTTGCACTAATCAAAACCTCATCTTATTCTTTGGTCGATGATGAGAAACTTTGCATCCTATTGCATTGACTTTTGTTTTTCTGGAATCTGATATATTCATTTTTCATTAGTTTTTATTTTTCCCAACTTTTGGATACGAACTGATATGATAATTTAATTATTTCTTGGGAACTGAAATGTTTGAAAAATAACTTGGTGCCTGGTACTACTTTCCTTTTTTGTTCACTGGCTCATTTAAAGTTGGAACTAAATGAGGTTTTAATTCAATACTCCATTTTCATTTTGGCATTAACAGCTTTACAGCTTATAAAAAACAGAACTTTAACGAAAAACTCTCAGTACTGTTCACTTTAACGAAAAACCATATTTTTACATTAAAAAATCAATTCTGGTACTATTCATTTTACCATTTATTTTGTCTTTATGGTTAAAACTCAAAGTTTTCAAGTCATTTTCATTAGTTTTCCTTATAAAGAATGCTAAAGTGCAAGCCGCCATCATATTGTGTATATAAATGAAATTATGTAGGACTTCTTATATTAGTATCTCTTAAAATATTTGATACATCCCATTCTATTTCTCTAGTTTTAACATATCCGCCTTCTTAGCTTTGAGTATTGAAATACCCTTATTTCACTCTTTTATGCTTAGTTTAATTTCACATGTAATTTTTTCCACTGTTTTTTTCTCTTTTTCTTTAATTTCAAGTGTTTCATATCATTTGTTTCTCGATTAATGTCATTGTAAAGAATATTGCTTATTTGCTTGTAAAAGGAGGAAGAGCCTTTAGTAATCTTACATATAATTAAACTTTAGTGATTCACTAGCGACACATCAATCAATTTCAAGTAGTCTTGACCTTCCTTCCCAGCAATTTCTCGTAAACTAGGGTTTTTCAACAAGTATCCAAAATTTCCTTTAAAGAATCTCGAGTCTATTTTCTAATTGGAACTCAGATATATTCTTTAATATATTTTCTGGAATCTCAATTCAGATGAAGTGATCGTTTCTTACTATTTTTCTGAATGCTTGACCTAGTCATATCCACAGACTTTAGGAAAATTACTTGCTTCATTCCCTACTTGTTCTTAGGTTAGTTTGCTTATTCTTTCTTTATTTTTAATTTGTCTACCTTATGTTTTGCTAATACCTATTTTTTTGGGAGCTTTAATGAAAAGGGTTTGGACCAAGAAATATTTAACCAAAAATCATCTCAAAATGTTATTTAACCAAAATCGCTCAAATTCTAGAGGCGACACATGAATTAATTACCAAATCCCATATTTAATACATTTGGATCCCAATTGAAGATTGATTTCATTCAGGTAACCTCTTTAGTATTTTGAGAATATTCTCTCCATAAACTTTGGCCAATAGGATGCCGCCATGTGTAGGGTAAAACCCTTACACCATGGCTGGCCCTCTCCCCTTATATATACTTCCAACTCTACCAAATTTTGGTAAGCTACCCCTAAAAGCCCTAAACACATATTCTTTTCAAAGAAACTAATTTAGGCATTGTATATCTATTGGCCTAACCCCCACCTCGTGGGCGTGTGGGGCTTAAGTCTTTGATCAAAGGTGAGGCTTAGGTCTTTGATCAAATGTGTTAATTGTTTGGCAGGTACATTTTCGTCAAAACAAAAAAAAAGGACGAAAATTTGCATCAACAATTATCTAATACATGAAAGTGATAGGATATTAACAAAGTGGAACTGTATATTCTTCAGCAACTTTCAATTTTTATCGTTTTCAAAGATTGAAAATATATATATGAGTGTGCTATCCACACATCTCATTTTACTTCTCACATACCCTTTGATAATTTCTGTCCGTCGATCTTCTTCAATTCATCCGATCCGACAGACGAAAATTAAAAAAGTGTGTGAGAAGTAAAATGGGTGTGTGAATATCACACCCATATATATATATATATCTTGAGTATCTTATGCATGAAAGTGATAGGATATTAATAAAATGGAACTGTAAATCCTGCAGCAATTTCCACTTTTTATCGTTTTCAAAGATTGAAAATTTTCAAGAGACATTTTATAAAATGACGAGTCTAGAGTAATGACCGCCGCAAGACCATGACCACCACACTAGTGCTGAATTCTATATCAGATTTTTAATATTTGCTTTTTGCAGCCGCTATATGCATTTCAGAATGAATTGTTCGTTATTTAATTCCAAATTTCCATGAATGTTTTGAAGAGTGAATTTGAATTCTAAATTAAAAAACGCTACTCTTATCACTTCTTTATATTATAATTTGTATCATTTTTTTAACGAAGATGTGTTCACATGTGTTGATAAGCCATACTTTTATTAGAGATATGGTATGAATATGTGGTAAATGTAGCATTACTCTTCTAACTTTAAAGTCAACTGTTTTTTATTTGTATCAGTTTTTTTTAGTACAAGCGATATTCTACACTGATCTATACTAAGGGGAAGAGGAGAGTTTGAACCCCGCACCAGGGTACATAGACATTATTACAAATCAAATTGTAAATTTTATTTTATTTTGTCAAATCGAATTGTAAATATAAAGTCCACTGTTGTGTGATTGCAAAAAAGTCAGGAAAGATTACAAATTAAATAAATCATCATCCTTGTTTCTCTAGGTAGCTGTCATATTATGAAACTTTAGTGATTCACTAGCGAGGCATCAATCGATTTCAAGTTGATCTATCAAATATATGCTGAGAAAATAAAAGGAAAAAAAGAATGGTTTTTAAAATAATTGTAAAGATTCAGTTTGTTGTTTTGACCCTCCTACCCCCGCAATTTCTCGGAAACTAGGGTTTGTCTTGAGCTGCAAATTTTCCTTTAAAGAAACCCGAGTCTATTAACTAATTGGAAGTCAGATATATTCTTTAATATATTTTCTAGAATCTCAATTCAGATGAAGTCATCGTTTCTTACTATTTTTCTGAATGCTTGACCTAGTCATAATTACTCACTTCATTCCCTACATGTTCTTAGATTAATTTGCTTCTTCTTTCTCTATTTTTAATTTGTCTACCTTAAGTTTTGCTTATACCTATTAAATATACTACATTACTACTTATTTTTAAGACAAGATATTGCTATGCTGCAATCAGGCGAGGGGAAAATTCCGAACCCAAGTTACGGTGATTGCAAGGCTAACGTCCTATCTACCAGAGTTTTGCAATTTACATAGAAATTGATAGAAATGTTTTGTATTGTTTTTGCTTGAAATATATTTAAGCATGGGGAACCAAGTAAATCTTCGAACTTAATAAAACTCGTATTAACATTTGACAACATAACATAAGATCACATTAACTGGCATTTGTTCATACATTAAGCATCAAGATATATTATATATATATATATATATATATATATATATATATATTGAAGAGAGTATCTTATGCATGAAAGTGATTTATTGTTTTCAAAGACTGAAGTTTTTCAAGAGACATTCATGGTTTTAAAATGACGATAGTCCGCAAGACCATGACCACAATAATGCAGAATTCTAAAAATATTTTCACAAAATACGCATTCAACCATTTTAAAAACATTAATTACAAAGAAGCCTTGGATTGGACATATCATTTTATCAAGTTTCCTATTTACGTCACATAATATTATTAAGGAAGTTTTAATAAAACTCTCATGGTACTGTTTACTTTTAATGTTAAGGACATTTTTAGCTTAAAAAGTCACTCCTGATACTATTCATTTGCACCTTTATTTTGTCCTTTTGGTTAAAAACTAAAATTTTCAAACATTTTTCGTTAGTTTTCTTTATTATTAATTCATGACATAAATTTTAAGTCACTCCACCGAATACGAAGACTAAAACCTAGAGGAAGAAAACGTAGTGACAACTCCACAAGCTAGATGAGCAAGTACGGGTACTATTTATTTTTTTCCTACATGCTGTAAATGCATCTTTGATTTGTCGAAGCTGGACTTGGACAATATAATATGAGACAAATAGTGCCCTTGAATTGAATGTTTCAACTTTTAGAGACATCTACCTCCCGATGACTTGGAAAATCCAATTAAAACCTTCACCAAGAAGAAAAGGGTGCACAAAAAAAATCTATGCTACTATTGACAATCTGACATTGACTCATTGAATGAGGACAGCAAACTCGAAATGAATTTTTTGGAGATGCTGGTAGCACGAAAATTACATGCCGTGACAGCCGGGTTTTGGATGCATCCTTTTACTTGTATTAATTTATGTAATTAACAATTAATTAACCCAGTTTAGAGCTTTCAATCCACCGTTTTAAGTCTATAAATAAAGAGTCCTTTTTACTTGAAAGTCATAAATTGCAAAGCTTGAAAACATGTCTAAGAAAGCTAGCTGCAGCAGCTCCCTTTTTGCTTTGTTCTTCTTGTTCTTATTTTCTAAGACTACTTTCCTGGCCATGGCACAAAACAATACGACTATCCCAGTTCATGTGGGTCTGGTTCTTGACTTTGATGACTTGTATGGGAAGAGGGATCTGAGCTGCATCGAAGTCGCCCTATCCGATTTCTATGCCTCTAATCCTAACTATAAAACCAGGCTTGTTCTGGAAAAAAGGAGCTCCCCTTCAGATGTTGTTGTCACCGCTTCTGCAGGTAATTTTCTCTCTTCTCTTTGTTCATGTTTCGTTTTTTATCGCTCCAATTAATCCCCGTCTGTTGACAGCCTTGCATAATAATTTAAATGATGTTGGTGTTTATCTAGTTTATTGTTCACCGATTTTGAGTTAAATGCTTACATTCTAGCATGAACCCGTTTATTATACTAAATTAGTTTTGAAAGTAGGAAAGAATAATAGCCTTGCATAAAGTTTAAGAAATCTTGGAAATCTCATGTTCATTGTCAATGCGTTTTAAGTTGGACGGTCACGTTCTAATAACTACCTGTGAAATTTTGAATACTCAACTAGTTTTCAAAGCATGAATCCACGTAGGGGAGATTAATTTAACATTTTCTTGTTTGAATGAACAGCTCTAGACCTAATAAAGAATGTTCAAGTGCAAGCAATCATAGGGCCTGCATCATCAATGCAGGCCAAATTCCTAATCAGCCTTGGCGAGAAAGCCCAAGTTCCCATAATCTCCTACTCAGCAACAAGCCCATCTCTTACTTCAATCAGAAGTTCATATTTCATCAGAGCTGCACAAAATGATTCATCCCAAGTGAAAGCCATTAGTGCTATCGTCCACGCCTTTGGCTGGGGAGAAGTAGTGCCCATCTATGTTGACGACGAGTTTGGGGAAGGAGTCATACCTTACCTCTCTGATGCCTTGCAAGAAGTTGGTGTTCGAATTGCCTACCGGAGTGTCATTTCTCCGGCGGCCACTGATGACCAAATTGTTGTTGAGCTTAAAAGGTTGATGGCAATGCAAACAAGGGTCTTCGTTGTGCACATGTTACCGTATCTTGGTTTGCGAATTTTTGACAAGGCGAAAGAGATTGGCATGATGGAGGCAGGGTATGCTTGGATAATGACTGATCGGATGACCAACATGTTTAGTTCCATAAATTCCTCTGGCATAGAAAATATGCAAGGGGTTTTGGGGATAAAAACTTATTACCCGAATTCGAAAGGTCTTGAGTACTTTCGAGTTAGATGGAAGAGGAAATTCCAACAAGAAAATCCAACTGTCCAGAATGTTAAACTGGATGTGTTCGGATTATGGGCGTGTGATGCTGCTTGGGCACTGGCCATGGCTGCTGAGAAAGTTGGGGCTACAAACTTCAGCTTCGAAAAGACGAATACTTCCGGAAAATCTAGTACTACTGATCTAGAAAGATTTGGTGTCTCACAAAATGGTCCTCAACTTGTCCAAGAACTATCAGGTACAAATTTTAAAGGCCTTTCAGGAGATTTCAATCTTTTCAACGGCCAATTACAATCATCAACTTTTGAGATTGTTAATGTGATTGGAAGTGGGGAAAAACTGATTGGATTTTGGACACCCAAAAATGGCCTTGCAAGAAACTTAAATTTGAGAAACAAAAGCAAATATTCTATTTCCAATACTAGTCTTGGATCTATTATATGGCCGGGAGACACCACCTCTGCTCCTAAGGGTTGGCAGATTCCTACACTTGGCACGAAGCTGCGAATTCTAGTCCCAGTCAAGCAAGGGTTTTCGGAATTTGTAAATGTCACATATCCTGGAACTAACATACCCAAGATCAGTGGATATTGCATAGACGTCTTCGAAGCTGTAATTGAAGCACTACCCTACGATGTCCCTTACGAGCTTATTCCCTATTCAATGCCTGGTTCGAGCACTAGCAATTACAATGACTTGGTGAATGAGGTGTATCTCAAGGTAAGTCTTTTTTCCCTAATCTAACAAACTTATCTAATTTGTAACTTACCTGGTAACATTTTTTTCTTGATAGAACTATCACGCGGCAGTAGGGGATATCACTATTAGAGCAAACAGATCCTTATATGTGGACTTCACGTTGCCGTACACAGAATCTGGTGTGTCCATGATTGTGCCTATCAAAGAGAACAAAAGCAAGAATGCTTGGGTGTTCTTGAAGCCTTTGACATGGGACCTTTGGGCAACGAGCGGTTGTTTTTTCATATTCATTGGTTTCGTTGTTTGGGTTCTTGAACATCGGATCAACGAAGACTTTCGGGGGCCTCCACATCACCAAATCGGGACAAGTTTTTGGTTCTCGTTCTCAACCATGGTTTTTTCACACAGTAAGTTTGTTCGTCTTAATTTACTCTCCACAGAAACTATGCAAATTTCATGCATTCCATTGTAAATTATGCCTCAAACTTATGACATGCATGACTCATTATTCTCCATTTCTTTCATCTTTTGAAATTTTCGTTACAGGGGAGCGAGTAGTGAGCAACTTGGCTCGATTCGTGGTGATAATCTGGTGCTTTGTGGTCCTCATTCTGACCCAAAGTTATACTGCAAGTTTGACATCGCTGTTAACAGTTCAACAGCTCCAACCAACTGTTACTGATGTTAACTTGCTCCTCAAGAATGGGGACAATGTTGCCTACCAATCAGGTTCTTTTGTTCTTGGAATTCTGAAACAACTAGGATTTCCAGATGAAAAACTTAAGACTTTTGGTTCCCCAGAAGAATTGAATCAACTTTTTCAAAACGGGAGTAAAAAGGATGGCATCTCGGCAGCATTCGATGAGAACCCCTACATGGAACTATTTCTTGCACAGTATTGCTCGAAGTACACCATGCTTGAGCCGACATTTAAAGCCGATGGTTTTGCCTTTGTAGGTTCACCTGCTTTCTCTCCTTTGTCTTTATCATGTTCAAACACATGTTTTCTCATGTCATGTGGGATTATTCTGTGTTCTTTCTGTTGAGAGTCTGAATTTCGCATTGGAGAATTTAGTGTTTACATAATATAGTTTAAATTATCGTTGGCATATATTTAACTCCTAAAATGTTTTCCAAATACAATCTTTTGACGCTTTCATTTGTGACTTGTAGGCCTTCCCAAAAGGTTCACCTCTTGCTCGTGATGTTTCGAGGGCAATCCTAAACGTGAATGAGGGAGACAGAATGAAAGAGATTGAAAAGAAATGGTTCAACAAAGAATCAAGTTGTCCAGACCCTAACAGCCTGGTCTCTTCCAACAGTCTCAGCCTTGAGAGCTTTTGGGGCCTCTTTCTCATAGCCGGTCTTGCTTCAACATTAGCTCTCCTCATATATGCTGCCATGTTCTTATACGAACACAAGGAAGTCCTCTCGCGACTCGATCCAGAAGCCTCATTGTGGAGAAAATTTTGTGTCATGTTAAGAATTTACGACAAAAAGGACTTAAAGTCATTTACTTTTAAGAAGGGTGAACTGGAAGTGAACACCATCTTCCCCCCAAGTCCATCCGTCTACTCAAACAATACTGAATCACGCATGGTTTTCGACGAGCAGATGAGAACACCTTCTACCGAGCATGGTGGTTTCAGTCCCAGTGATGGTTCGCCCAACGGCAGAGAGATGGAATCAGTCATTGAGATTACTGAGAGGCCAACACCTCATGAGATTGCCCAAGAAAGCAATTGACACAGTTTCTTAGTTTCACATAGTCGGTGCTAATTATAGATGTAGCACCTTATCGTTAGACTTAATTGTACATGGGTAAAAAATATTGTAAATTGGTTTAGAAATAAAATGATTATATATAACACATGAATATATACCACGGATTTTACAGAAAACAAATACTAACTATTCTCTCTAATAAATGCAGAACCTTTGTTACAACTGTTGTATAACATCTCAAACCCCAAGAACCTAATTCTGCAGAAAGAGAAACCGACTAATAATCCCTAATGCACCTTTCAGCCCCAGAAATCCTTGAGAAGTTCCGTCTTTCACGTTCATCACGTCATATTGCGGATACCTTAGGGTTTGGAAAGCCGGATCAAAGAAGTTCTCAATCTCAATAACAATCAGTCGTCCGTCATTGTACACATCCCACTCCGTGACTTTGACTAGGTTGAGAGAAGCGTATCCGCCAGTGCCGGTGGGCAGGGATGTAAGAACGAGAGGACGATCGAGCAGGAGAGTGTCGACTTTGGAACCATGATCGAAAGACGCCTCTACTGAATCTTTGTCCATCTTGAACGGCACAACATGATACTTAAATAGTGTCAACGGAGGCTGTCCATACTTGGAGTTAAAGAAAGCTTGGTCTTTAGGGCAAAAGAGGGTAAGACTGGTGCTGTGATTTAAGTTTAGGGTTGGAAATATCACAGCCTCAAGAATGGTGCCTAGGGTTAGTGCCATGGCCTGATACCCTTTGTCGGAAAGTACGCTGGATACCTTCCCCATGTTGATTCCTGACTGTTCCGGTTGGCTCGTTTGTTCATATGGTTGAACAGCTTGACTGGTAACAAAGAGAATTGAAGAGAGAAGAAAACAGATCAGTGCAAACTTGGAATCCATGGGAGAAGAGAAGAAGAAGGCAAAGCTAGGGAGGTATAATTGGGTGCAAAGAGACGAGTTTTGCAAAAAACAAAAGCCCAAGGTGGTTACACAATATATAGTACCAGTACTTCCAAATCCTTCATGGATTCCTCTTCGCTTCCGGAAAATATAGATCACAATATTTCACCAAAATGTTTTTGAATGGTTAACCGACATCAGATATGGCATATCCATTGTAAGTTATGCCCCAAACTTCTGACATCCATGACTTATTATTCTCCATTTCTTCCATCTTTTGAAATTTTCGTTACAGGGGAGCGAATAGTGAGCAACTTGGCTCGATTCGTGGTGATAATCTGGTGCTTTCTAGTCCTCATTCTGACCCAAAGTTATACTGCAAGTTTGACATCGCTGTTAACAGTTCAACACCTCCAACCAACTGTTACGGATGTTAACTTGCTCCTCAAGAATGGGGACAATGTTGCCTACCAATCAGATTCTTTTGTTCTTGGAATTCTAAAACAACTAGGATTTCCAGATGAAAAAATTAAGACTTTTCATTCCCCAGAAGAGTTGAATGAACTTTTTCAAAACGGGAGTAAAAAGGATGGTATCTCGGCAGCATTCGATGAGAACCCCTACATGAAGCTATTTCTTGCAAAGTATTGCTCGAAATACACCATGGTTGAGCCGACATTTAAAGCCGATGGTTTTGGCTTTGTAAGTTCACCTGCTTTCTCTCATTCGTCTCTATCATGTTCGAATACATGTTTTCTCATGTCAGGTGGGATTATTCGGTGTTCTTTCAGTTGAGAGTGTGAATTTTATATCGGATAATTTAGTGGTTACTTACTATAGTTTGAATTATCATTGGCGTATATTTAACTCCTAAAATGTCTTCCGAATACAATCTTTTGACTCTTTCATTTGTGACTTGTAGGTTTTCCCAAAAGGTTCACCTCTTGCTCGTGACGTTTCGAGGGCAATCCTAAACGTGAACGAGGGAGACAGAATGAAAAAGATTGAGAAGAAATGGTTCAACAAAGAATCAAGTTGTTCAGACCCTAACAGCCTGGTCCATTTCAACAGTCTCAGCCTTGAGAGCTTTCGGGGCCTCTTTCTCATAGCCGGTCTTGCTTCAACATTAGCTCTCCTCATATATGCTGCCACGTTCTTGCATGAACACAAGGAAATCCTCTTGCGACTCGATCCAGAAGCCTCATTGTGGAGAAAATTTTGTGTCATGTTAAGAATTTACGACAAAAAGGACTTAAAGTCATTTACTTTTAAGAAGGGTGAACTGGAAATGAACGCCATCTTCCCCCCAAGTCAATCAGTCTACTCAAACAACACTGAATCACGCATGGTTTTCGACGAGCAGATGAGAACACCTTCTACTAAGCATGGTGGTTTCAGTCCCAGTGATGATTCACTCAAATGAAGAGAGATGGAATCAGTCAATGAGATTACTGAGAGGCCAACACCTCATGAGATTGCCCAAGAAAGCAATTGACAGAGTTTCTTAGTTTCACATAGTCAGTGTTAATTATAGATTTAGCACCTTATCGTTAGACTTGATTGTACATGGGTAAAAAATATTGTAAATTGGTTTAGAAATATGACGATTATATATAACAAATGAATATATGTGGAAATATTAAGTTTGTTTGAATGTATTTTTCATATATTGATTGAATGTACAAGGGGGGATATATAATGAGGTAGAAGGTTACAAGCAACCTTACCTTGGCAAATCCTACTAACCCGGTAAACCCTAAAGCTGACACTCCTTAAATTAAGGGAGTGCAGCAAGTAGCTAGCACACAACTATCAACAAGTCATATAGATGTCAATCTTCCTCAAATTAAGGGATTAGACTTAATAGAGAATCCCATGGAAAGAGGAAACATAAAATATGGCAGCATCAGTCACCCTATATTGTCTGATAACCCTAAAACCATATGCAACATCAGTCATATGTAGCATCAGTCACTCTTAACTTTCAATACTCCCCCAGAAGACGCTGAAACTGATTTAGAGGTAATGGTTTGGTGAAAATGTCTGCTAACTGATCAACACTCCTTGTGTAGAGAGTTTGAGTCACTTGAGTTTGTACCTGAGCACGAACATAGTGGCAATCAACCTCAATATGTTTTGTTTGTTCGTGAAACACTGGATTGGATGCTATGTGCATTACAGCTTGATTATCACAGTACATTGACATAGGTTGCCGAGTTTGGAACCTCAAGACACTCAAAAGACCCTTAAGCCATATTAATTCACATGCAGTGGATGTCATCGATCTATACTCGGCCTCTACACTAGATCTTGCAATTACATTTTGCTTCTTACTCTTCCATGTTACCAGATTTCTTCCCACAAACGTACAATAACCAGTGGTAGACTTTCGATCTATTTGGTTTCCTGCCCAATCAGCATCACAGTAACCAATAACTTGAGTGTTATCATTCTTCTTCATGAGAATTCCTCTTCCAATAGAACCTTTGAGATAACGAAGTATTCTCTTAACAATGTTGAAGTGTTCTATGGTAGGTGCATGCATGAATTGACTAGCTAAGCTCACTGCAAACATAATATATGGTCTTGTGATAGTTAAATAAATTAACTTACCAACAAGCTGTTGATAGTAACCAACATTGGGCAGAGGGTTGCCTTCCAAGCTAAGCTTAAGCTTGCTATCGAGATAAGTTTGAACTGGCTTGACATCCTTCATGTTTGATTCATTGAGGAGATCGAAGATATATTTCCTTTGGTTAAGAAATAGCCCTTTATTTGATGAGGCAATTTCTATTCCCATAAAATGTTTTAACTTTCCAAGATCTTTGATGGAGAACTTCTGTTGTAGGAAGGCCTTAAGGTTTGTGATTTCATTTGCATTATCCCTAATGATTATCAAGTCATCAACATAGATAACACTACAAGTTTTCCAACCATTCTTGTTCGAACAAACATGGATGAGTCTGCATGACTTCTTTGAAACCCAGCTTTTTCAAGAATTGAACTGAGCTTGGCATACCAAGCTCTTGGGGATTGTTTCAATCCATAAATGGATTTGTGCAAGGCTCATTGTATTGAGGATGTCCCGGTGGTAACTTCATGTAGACTTCATTTTCAAGGTCGTCATGTAAGAATGCATTCTTTACATCCATTTGGTATAGAAGTCATCCTTTATTTATAGCAACATATAATAACACCCTCACAGTGTTCATCTTGGTAACTGGGGCGAATGTTTCCTTGTAGTCCACGACATAAGTTTGAGTGAATCCTCTAGCCACTAATCTAGCTTTGTGCCTTTCAATCGATTAATCTGAGTGCAATTTGATCTTGTAGATCCACTTACTACCAACTGCCATTTTTCCTGGTGGAAGTTTAATTACACTCCAGGTGTTGTGATTGGTGAGAGCACTGAGCTCTTCATTCATAGCCTTCCTCTACACTTCTTGGCAGTTTGCTTCTTGAAAAGTTTAAGGCTCGCAATGACTGGTGATGGTGTTCAAATAGGCAACATAAGATTTTGAAACTTTCTAATAAGACATGAAACCACTGATTGAATGCCTGGCTGAATAATTCACATAATCTTGAAGCCTTGTAGGAGGGTGCCGAGCATGCACTGGATTTCTTTTGCCCTAGACCTGTTGTGTTTCTTATGTCTAGTTTTCTGTCTCTTCATGAGAAGATTTTTCAGTGTGCATCTGTTGGTCAGGATTGTGATCACTTACTTGAGTTTCATCAGCTGCAGCATGTGCATTAAGAGGTTGTATCTCAAAAGAAAGTTCCTCAGCCCTTGGTAAGGGAAAAAACTCAGAGAATGACTCCCCTTGTGACTGATCATCAGACAACTTGCTGTAAAATGAGTTAGTTTCATCAAATTGTACATCCTTTGAAACTACAACTCTTTTTAACTCGGGACTATAGCATTTGTAACCTTTTTAAGTAGATGAATAACCAAGAAACAAGCATTTATTTGCTCTAGGGTCCAATTTATCCCTATGCTGAGATTGAATATGAATATAGCATGTGCACCCAAAGACTTAAGGTGTGACATACTAACATCTCTTCCTTTTAACATTGTCATTGGAGATTTGAACTCCAAGACACAACTTGGTAATCTGTTTATGATGTATGCAGTTGTCATGACCCATTGAGACCAAAATCTTTTTGGGACATTCATGTGCAACATTAGAGCTCTTGTTTTTTCAAGTAGGTCACGATTCTTTCTCTCGGCTAAACCATTTTGTTGTAGGGTACCAACATAGCTAGTTTGATGCAAATTTCCATTACTGCTTAAATATTGTTTCATGACGTGTGACATATATTTCGAGCCATTATCAGATCTCAAGGTTTGGATTTGGGAATTGAAGTGATTTTGACAAGATTATGAAAGTCTATGAATGCTTTAACAACTTCACTCTTAGATTTCAAAAGGTATAACCACGTAACTCTCGAGAAATCATCTATGAAAGTTACAAAATACTTATACCCTTCAAAAGATTCAAAAAATGGCTCTCATACATCTGAATGTACAATTTCAAAGACTTGTTTGGTCCTATTTGATGATGAACCAAAAGGCAACCTAGTGGATTTATAAAAGTGGCAAGTATCACATTGGGTCACTCATTTACAAAGATTTGGAAACAAGTTTGACAAAATAAGCTCGGATGGATGAGCTAATCTTTGATGTCATAGGTTTTGGTCTTGACTCAGGTTATACTTGACTTGAAATCCCTAGAGAAATGGAGTCTCCTTGGATAGGTAATAGAGAACATCTAAAAAAAAACCTTCACCAATCTTCTTCTTGGTGATACAATCCTGAAAAATGACAGTGTAAGGAGAGAAAGTAACTGAACAGTTTAAGGCATGTGTGATTTTTCCAATTGAGAGAAGTTAGAAAGGGAATGAAGGAACATATAAGGCTTTAGACTCTACATTGTCAGATAATAGATGTATTTTTCTCATTCCTAACACTTTAGCTCCCTCGCCATTAGCAATTGAAACATGTGAAGGTGTAGAGAGTTTTTTTAAATCATGGAGCTTGTAAGGTTGGTTTGTCATGTGATCTGTGGCACCGGAATCTATGACCCACAAATCATACAATTGATTTATATTTAGAGTAGTTTTGAAAACTGTCAATATACCTTGCATGTCGTCCTGAGTGAGCTTTTTCGAGTCAGCCAAAAAACCTGCAAATTTTCCCAACAAAGCAGTTGAGTTGCCATGTCCAAAGGTAGCAGCTTCATCACTCTCAGAGACTTTATTCTTCATTTGAAGGTATGCATCAAACTCATTTAGAAGCACAAAACTCAACCTTTGATTTGGATTTACATCGATCTCCGGTTGGTTTTAATGATTAGCTCCAAGAGAGCTATCAACCTCGGACTCAAGAATATGGTTTTCGTCAGCCATGTTTGAAGAACAGAGCAACAAGTATCACAGAGACAGGTTATTCCTGCTCTGATACCATGTGGAAATTTTAAGTTTATTTGAATGTATTTTTCATAGATTGATTGAATGTACAAAGGGGGATATATAATGAGGTAAAAGGTTACAAGCAACATTACCTTGGCAAATCCTACTAACCCGGTAAACCCTAAAGCTGACACTCCTTAAATTAAGGGAGTGCAGCAAGTAGCTAGCATTATCAACAAGTCATTTAGATGTCAATCTTCCTCAAATTATGGGATTAGACTTAATAGAGAATCTCATGGAAAGAGGAAACATAAAATATGGCAGCATCAGTCACCCCATATCGTCTAATAACCCTAAAAACATATGCAACATCAGTCATATGCAGAATCAGTCACTCTTGACTTTCAATATGTGGAATTTTTCAGGTCGACGGGCCGATGGCCCACTACAACAATACTGATACTGTCCCCACTTAACCACTTGCACAATCCTCAAATGTGGGGTTTTATCACAAAGACATCGGTATTAGTTAGAGTGGGGTAAATTCTATTTAACTTGCTTACAAACAAGGGGTTCCAACACTCGTGAAAATCCACATCGGTAACCACGTGGAGTCATGTCGGGACTCACCCATCACGCGGGGCCAACGGGGACCCACCCAAATCCTCAAATGTGGGGTTTTATCACAAAGACATCGATCGGTATTAGTTAGAGTGGGGTAAATTCTATTTAACTTGCTTACAAACAAGGGGTTCCAACACTCGTGAAAATCCACATCGGTAACCACGTGGAGTCATGTCGGGACTCACCCATCACGCGGGGCCAACGGGGACCCACCCAATCACGTGGATGTACAGGCCTAACAAGGGGTTCCAACACTCCCACACATGTGAGATCTCATTTATGGGTCACACGTGAAAATCCACATCGGCAGGATTCACCCATCACGCAGGGCCAATACGGACCCACCCAATCACGTGGATGTACAGGCCCGCGTCCTAACTCTAATACCATGTGGAATTTCAGGTCGACGGGCCGAGGGCCCACTCCAACAACACCGATATTATCTCCACTTAACCACCTGCACAATCCTCAGGTGTGGGGTTTTATCACAAAATGCCTCAGTATTAGTTAGAGTGGGGTAATCCTATTTAAATTGCTTTGCTTTCCTTCCCCTAGCCGATGTGGGACAAACAGAGGGTTCCAACAATATATACCACGGATTTTACAGAAAACAAATAGAGA